AGTGAATAGTTTTTGATTTCGCATATTAAAGTTGATAAGTCCATTCAAGCTAAACTCCTGAAGAGCCGGATACCGGCAGAATAATTTGCCATTAAGCTTTCTGACAGCAGAGAAACACAGGACGCCATGGTGAAGACACAAATCGTAGAAATGTATACGCCCCTGCAGACTGCCTTCTGTGCCATGCAGTGCCTGAAGAAGAGCTCATATGCATATTTCCGCATTCGTGACGACCCGCTCTCTTATTTATGAGAACAGTAAAGAATACCGTTGTAAATTGCTATTGACACGTGTGTGGAACCATTGCGACGGCGCATTTTCTGTTGTGAACAAACTGCAATAGCGATTCCTAACTTCTTGTCAAACGGGAACCACGCTCCCATTTAGTATAATCCTTCATGGCGTGCTTCTAAGACTTCTGAAGTCAGGAATGGAATCTGATTATTCCAAAGCTGTTGCTGTGAAGTTGTGAAATCCGGCTCGGGAACTGCCCGATGATCAGCGCGATAGGCAGTCACAATGAATAGACCGTAGCTATAGGAGAATATTAAACCTTTTCATGAGTCTGAAGACTTTTGTGTGGGAGGGACAGCGAAACCCAGAAATTGTCGATATTTCGGATAAGGTGCTTGCCGTTTGTAACTAGAGCAGGTTCTGTGGATGGCTAATGCTGCTCTTGACAACCAGTCAGTAATGCGAGGGAGGTTGCACGTTAAACGGCGTGGTATTCTATTCATATACAGATAGGAGGCCACTATCAGAGAAAGGCGCAAGGATCAACAAGTAAGTAAATGTTGCAGCGAGCACCTGTTGTCATCTGTTTTATGTATATGCTTAAGGTATTGTCAGAATCGTATGCCACATGATGTCAGCCCTGTTTGATAGAAATTATAAAATGATTTTCATTGATCTCTTCATGTAATGTTTGTCTTAAAATTACGTCCATGGAATCTGTTTGTCGGTTAATTGACGGTGATTGTTCTCTAGTGGTGACTTTATATATACTATTAAAACTATTGGGGCATAGTATATTTTTTGGCTATTATTTGGGAAACAAATTGTATGATTGTATGTGGATTTAGAAATGATTTATTATCCACAACGTGTTATGAATTCTGTGCAAACACGACAATTGCATGCAAGCGTTGTCATAATGCGTACGTGGACATGGTCAGGGTAAACTTCCAGGTTTACAGTGTTGCTGTATATTTCAGTGGTAAAGACCAGACTGAAGGTTGTTCTGATATTGTTTTAAACTATTGTTTTGAACTGCTCCATTTGTTACGTTAGAAACGGCTTCTTGCAATTTGCATTTTGGATGTCGGAACAAGACAGAGCATTGTGTCACGAGCATATAACGTTTCACAGTAAATAATTAGAAAATTAAAACAATGACATCGACAGACAAATAACGTTGATGAAAGCGTCGACCTTGGCCCTTTCATCAGAACGACTGTGTTCCTCACAAATTGGAGATGAACGTTCCAAAACTACAGGAGTGAATAGACAGACGTTTCGTAATCGGTTGCACAGATTTGACCTGCATGCCCACGTCCACGTGTTATCCAACGTCGTCCGTCACATTACTGCAAGACGTCGGTGGTGTCAAATACAGCAGCTCCAGACCAAGTGCCGTTGGACAAGCGTTATGTTTCCGAAAGAATCAAGTTTTACTTTAGACTTCCTTGAGTGGCGTGGACGGAATGACCGTTGTCATGCCCTCAACGCAAGCCAGCAGGATTGTAGGGGTGGGGGTGGGTGGTCATGTTATGGTGTGGGATGGGATCGCAGTAATGACACATTTACACGTTATACACGGACGTGTCACTGGGCAGTACTACCGTCACAACATACTGTTGTTAAGACTCGTTAGGGTGAGAGCCTAGTGGTTGCAAGAGTTGTATACTCCACACGGAATTGAGATTGATAATACGATGTGCCGTTGAGATTGACATCCAATGATCGAGGGGAAAAATACCAGCGCCTTGAGCATGCACTAGTTGCGTGGATATGTGGGGTATATAAATATCCTATAATAAAAAGAATAACAAATAAACTGAAGGTACACGTGGTGCCAACTGGGCACCGACCTGGACGTCGTTGTGTGTTTCAGAAGCACAACGTAAGATACCTTATAGAGTGCTTCCTACAGGAGAACATTACCACCTCGCCATGATCAGCTCTCACTCGACTTGTCACCCACAGACCATTCGCAGTGAACTTCCATGTAAGACTGTAATGTAAGAATGGAATGGAATTAACCAAGTTGACATTGAACGTTTGAGTAGAGGCGGATTCACAAACGAGAAAAAATGAGTTTGACTTTTCATGGTAAATGACTTAATTAACGACATCGCGCCTTGGCCAATCATCTGACAAAATGTCAGGACATCTGACGTTCATTGACTAGAGCAAGTCCATTCTAAGATGTGTACTGCGGGAAATACGCTACTGGTAATCAATTGGAAAACATAAATATTTAGACGTATGTGTTTAACTCGAGATTAAAGTAAACGAACAATATGCTTTTCTTCTAGTCAGTTAAAGGCAATGTTGTAAGGTATCAAAGTAGTACTAGATTGTAGATACTAGATCGTAGATATCATACATTGGTAACAGAAACGTTGATGAGCATATTTTTATTTTTATGATTATCTTTTCTTTCTTAAAATGGACGTTCACGAACTGACTTCGCACATTTGGAAAGATTAAGACCACGGTGACTGAGTGGACCGCTTCATTTATCGTATTGTTTACATACTAGTTACCTTTCGTCAGTTAACACCGCCATACATCACATACAGGAACCTCCTTTAAGTATAGTAGAATAGTTTGTTAGTTTATTGAGAAAGAAGGCACCGTATCGATGTGTTGATCTTACAAATAAGTTAGGCCACCTGATTTGCATATATATTGGATAGCGATACCAAAATAATCGTACTGATGTATTGTATCGATAACATCAGAGATTGGATGATGAGCTCTGTTATTCCATAGATGGTACATTTGACACACATGCTTTTGGGACTGCCATTTGGGCGGAGCTTAGCCTCAAAGTATTACGAACATTGATCATCAGAACAATCCTTGCCAATATTACACAAAGTCGTGAACATCCCTGGTATAACTTTTTCACAGCAACCCATATGTGTCCCGAAGGGCGTATCCAATTTGCGTGACGTCATTCACCGGATTATCTGGTCCACTCTCATTATTTACATTTACAGACCCAGCTGGAATAGTGTGGCGGTAAACAAAAAAAACAAAAACAAAACAAAAATAAAAATAAAAAAATATTTAAAAAAACAGAAAAAAACAGAAAAAAAGGCACAAGACAAACAAAATGGTTGGTCCATCTGCGATATATTGTTAAAATGGGCTACGTGAGCTATCAGTCCGAGGTGTCCAGTCGAGGTGCACGTTTTGTGAGGGAAATGGCAATCAGATTGTGATAAGAAACATTTGGTTTTCGACCTAAAGCCCCTATCGCACGTTCCTTCAAAGAAAGGCACACCCCAGTTTGGAGAGTCAAGGTGATTAAATCATTTGTTATTTTCGGATGCAAAAACTGTTATTTTGTTTGAACAGCTGTTGCTTTACTGTTATAGTTACCTGCTTGCTAGTTCTTATCGCTTTAAGCTTGTGTTTATGTTGTAAGTAACTGCACGTATTATGCTTTATTATATACCTGTTGTATCAACTTAAACTGGCGAATTGTAATCTTGTTTACACATATATGCCATGCACATAATCTTATATTCCTTACTATCAGTCTATTGAAAATATACATGATGATCCCAGCTATGTCAGCTCATACTATGAGTGTACCCGTAAAGATCCGTGTTAGAATTGGTCTTCAGCAGCCCATACTTGTAAGCTGATCAGGTGGTCAGGCTTGTTGACACATGCCATCGTATCCCAGTTGTGTAGATCGATGCTCATGATGTTGACCACTGGATTGCCTGGTCCAGGCCGTCTCATATTAGCTTAAATATTGCGGAGTGAGGCTTTAAACAACAGACAAGCATCATACTATGAGTGTGGTCTTTCTAGATATCCTTCTTACGTGCCCTTAATTATCAAAATGTCAGCGCCAGAGAATAATATGTCATCATCTGCCGTAGAGGGTAAAAAGGTGATGGAAATGAATAGACAAAATGTAGTTTATGGATGAGCTGTAATTAGTAAAAAAATTAACCAATCATTGAATAGGACGAATCCTTAGGTTGACAAGGACGGTTCGTTTGGTTCGTTTGGTGAGGTGAACATGGGTAAAATGTCACATTCAAGATCATTTCACGAAAATGACGGCGTGCATTCACATGTGTGATTGTATGCTTGTGTGTGTGCGTGCGTGCGTGCGTGCGTGTGTGCGTGCGTGTGTGTGTGTGTGTGTGTGTGTGTGTGTGTGTGTGTGTGTGTGTGTGTGTGTGTGTCTGCTTGTCTGGATTGACGCCCGTAATGTAGTGCTAACCTACTAATATACCATGCAACTGTTCAGCATGGACAGTATGAGTCAGTGAGTGGGTTTAGTTTTACGTCGCACGCAGCAATATTCCAACAATATGGCGGCGGTCTGTAAATAATCAAATTGGACGAGACAATCCAGTGATCAACAACATGAGCATCGATCTACGCAATTGGGATACGATGACATGTGTCAACCAAGTCAGCAAGCCTGACAACCCGACCAAATTAGTCGCCTAGTACGAGAAGCATGGGTTACTGAAGATCAAATCTAACCACAGTATGTAGAGATTCCGAGACCGTCAGATGTTATTCCCTTTATACGAAGGGTCAAATTCGGTAAACAAGTAGCATCTTGTGACGTCTTGTAATTGGCAGATTGTATTGTAATTGGCAGTTACATACTACATGGCGTTATTTAGAAAGAAGGAGTCAGATGGGTTTAACACGGCTTTGAACAACGTTTTAACCTGAGTTAAAGGGAGCTAATTCGTGAGATGCATGTTACGTTAAGTACACAGCAATCATTTCAGATCGCTCACATCATGTCGAAGATGGAGCAGAAGAGGTTGTTGCTGGAGGCGAAGGTGGCGTGTTACTGGAAGATGGTGGAACAGGAGAACAGGTCCACACTAGGTTGGTTTTCTCTAGTCGCTCTACAAGTAGTCAATGTCAGACAGTAACCAGTCTCCATTATCCGGCCGCGATATCCGTTTGGCGTGACAGAAAAACATGAGATGGAAATTATATGAATGGACCACTGCAAATGTGTTGACATCAAGTGTTCGATGACAATTAAGTGTGTCGATCTGGTATGTCCTGTTTTTGAGACAGTGTGTATGTATATTGGAACGAAATGTAGATTTTAGCTTAACGTATTAACTCATTAAAATTATGCTGTTCAGTCGCAAATTTAAATTAAATGATATTTTTGGACAAAGCAAGGTGATACATGGCCGGATACATGGCATTCACTAAACTACCGGTGGTGATATCGGAGCACTGAATTATACTATTGTGATCGTGTTGTAACGTGACTGCAATGTGATGTTACGTGGTTTCTTACACATTTTAACCGTACGACGACTACGTATAGTCGGACACGAAGAACATATGACCAGAAAAACATTCGCCAAAACAAAACAAACTTCAGGTCCAAAACACAAGGAAACCTCGCTGAAAGTACAGACGTACACAAACCCTAGACATTTTAGACGTTGTGGAATGGAATAGTAAATATTAATATCTATAATTGTTTAAAACAGTGGCAATAGGAAATGACAGCGCTTTCAATCACCGTCTCAATTTGTCACTCATAACGGTGGCTAGTTATAAGTGAAAGTTAAGCCAGATGATGTGGACTATATATCAGATGTCTAAACAGTAAAACCAATGCATCTGTCGTCATAGTACCACAATGTCCCAACTGTCGGATTTATGACGTCTATATGTATTTATCAGGTTATGAGATCGAGCAGCCATCGACGAACTGTGAAGTCGTGTGGGATGACGTGTTATGTTGGGACGCTGCCCCTGCCGGCTCCATCGCCACTCAGCCTTGCCCGGACTACATCAGCGGTTTCAACAGAAACGGTGAGTTCACGAATTGGAAATTAGTGTCGTGAGAAGATCGTATACTTCAAGAGCAGCTATTCCAATATTGAGTTTTCCATCAGGACCTGTTGACATCTTTTTCATGGGATTTTCGGAATCGTGGTCCCTATTTTTCCTCCACCCGTTTTCCCCTACCCCAACGCCTCACCCCACCCCCAGAGCATTAACCGGCTAACCGGCCTGCATCTTGATGGATATTACAACTGTGTAGACCACCGGACATTTCCCACTATGCAAGCTATAATTCCAATGCGGGGATGTCAGCACACAGAGTGGATAGTCTGGCGTGTTTATATAACCTCTGGGGATCGAAGCTGTGTGTGCGACTGTCGGAATAAATATTCACTCTGACGCCGACTTGAATATACCCAACCGTTTCTGCATGATAATTAATTATGTATTATCATAGGAATCAACAAGTAGGAATAGAAAACAGATCTTAATACATGATATAGGACAGTATTGAAAAAAGAATACCCAGTTTTTCCTATGCTGAGAAACAAATTCCGTGAGGTTTGAAGGGAAAATAGGTGTGCAAATTATATGAATGGATCACTGAATAACAGTGATGACACCCGGTGTCCGTGACCAGGGTAACTGTGTCCACTTGGCTAACACCGCTGAGACACATATACATAGTATGGATAGTACATAGTACAAAGTGCATACGTATTTATTAGGGGTGACTATTGAGGGGGTAATAACTATAGCAATAGTCTATTGCGACCAATGGACATTTTCCTTGAATTGTCTCATTTGAAGTCTTTTCCCAAATTAATCTATAGTTTATATGAAATAAAAACAAACTGAAGTAGTTGGAATCTCTTTTAATAACTGACAAGAAACATAACAGGGGCGGCGGGTAACTCTAAATCAAATTGAACGAATCTAGTACTTCCTGTATTTTGTACTGCGCATTTATCAACGGACCCGTGAAGATCCGGGTTGGAATTGATCTTCAGTCTGGTCAAGACTCGATTATTTACATACCGCCGCCATATAGCTGGAAATTTAACTGAGTGCGGCGTAAAACTAAATTCACTCAGTCACTCATTTACTAAACTATCAGTCGATTACTAAACTATCGATAGTCACACAGTTGTTCTATATTAAACTGTTATTGTCACTAGAACGTCGCACAATATTTCATGCTTAATTAACGTTAGTAAATGAAACTTTGCCAACGCCTGTCAGCATAGGGAATGTCATTGTGAAGGAACACTTTAACCAAGCTCTTCTTCTCTGACCGTTAAGAGGAAGATTTGACCAATAAGCCAAACCAGACAAATCACTTAACTGCACCTACTCCTCTCGAGTACGGACAGTACTTACAAACTACCTTTCAACCACTCGGCCCATGTCATACCGTTTTACTGCACAGTGACCTCCCACTGATTACATGCATTCGGACAAGACGGAACGATGTGTATGTGTGAGAACCACGTGGTCTGATTGATAGGAACATACTACAGAAGCTTCTATTATTAACTACAGGAATCTCGTTATTTGAAGCTGGCGTTGAGGGGGCAGTCAATGCCGTTTTGTAGTCGGGAACAAAGATGCAGTGATCATAGCAGGAAGACGTTGCGGGTGTGATACCAGTTACTTCCGACAGCTGTTATGCTGAAGCTGTAGAAGGTTCATTCTTATCATGAACATTGTATTGGAGATGTGGAACTACTAGTATATACTAACCTCATTGCGCCAGGTGTTTGACCGTGTTTAGTATTCGCTACATCGATAGAAAGACAAGAACAGAATTCACCAGAAAACCAAAGCGTGCGTTAGCATTAGTTGTAAGCGACTTGATATTACCTTACGTAATTATTTGAAATAGTTGAAAGGGAGCGTAAACCATATTAGATATGGATGGGACAAATTATCCACATGATCCCATGCATTTCATACAAATACAATTAAATATTACCAAATAGTTTATATAAATCTGATAATGTACACCAACTTCAACGACCCAAAATAGTCATGATGGTATGCTGAATACATGAATATACAGTGACAATATAGTTATGATAACATGCTAAATTTATGCATATGCACAGTGACAATGTGGTTATGTCTATATGCTGAATACATATATTCACCGTTGCCACCGTTACGACCATATGCTAAACACATGTTACAAGCCATCTATTTCTCAGCCACTGTTGTGTGTGTCATTGTAGATTCCTAAGTATTCACCTCTGATAGACCGGGGTAAATATTTAGTTTACAATTTCGGTACACAATCTATGGTATGTATTGGGCACTCAGGGCTGATCAGAATACCAAAAGACGATCCTTTGTTCTAACAGAGACCGCCACACCTCCGACGTAGCTGAGCATGGAGCACAGTTAAACCCCAGTGGGCATTCCACACGAGCTCAGTTCGTGGTCAAAGAGGCACTGGACAAAATGTGTGCCTGCTAGAATCGCTACTCGAGTGATGAATTGACCACTTTCCTGTTGAAGGAGAGTTTGTGTGTCCACAGATCATGATTTATTGTGAGGGTTTTCTGTCATCAAAACTACTGAAATCTTCACTCGGCTGATTAAATACAACTCGTGGTGTCTAGCAGGCGCTTCGAGGCAATCAACGTGGACATACATTGTAGACTGAAACTCCCACAGTTATCGTAAACAGTCCTGCTGGCGCATTGTTGATTGGTGTTCTTGTAGTCATCCAATACATGTGAACTACATTTTATCACAGGAATGTGATGTGATTATTAGGAAATCTAATCATCAACAAGAATCCGAATAATGAAAACTTCAAACTTTTCTCATATAAGATTCGGCCGCAAATGTATATTCATAGCATATCTTAGTCAATACGTGTTCAAGAAGATCGTGTTCATTCATATGACAGATTATATCACAGATTATCAACAGTAACATGACACGGCCGGGTGTTCCTTCCCTTTTATGAGTGGTACATGTATATCAGCTGTATGGACATCATAGTGAATGTGCACCTAATGTTGTTAAGCGACTGTCAGGACCGCCGTAAAGATTAATGTTAAGTGCATCATTTAATTGATTATTTGTTCCTTACATCACGTAAATATTACGGATTAAAACACGTACCTAGCAACCAGCTTATCGATATGGATGATCAGTCAGGGGGACTATGTTTTATTCCGTGTTATACTGCTTACCGTATCGATCACTGAATCTTCTGCTTCAGACATGATCATGTACACGACACCGTAGTAAAAAATGAACATGTACTTGTGGAATAGTGATATGTGCTGCATTACACAATGTAACATCTCATATATCTGACTGGGACATGGGCAATAACCACATTAAACTCAATTAGATCGTGAACATGTTTGAAACACAATAACATTAATAGTTCTCATAAAGCAGGAAATAACATATCGGTCAATGAAGTGAAATCATTCATGAAGACGAATTGTGACTATGACCTTAATTTTGGCAGGAAATAGAAATATCAGCCTCAGCACTTTGTCAAAGCCATGCAATATCCGTTAATCCGCTCAACTTAATAATTTGATGTACGATGCAATTCTCTAGTCTCTATATAACTATTCACATTTTAATTCTGGAAACCCCAAAGCCCAATGATATATTAATATACATATCATGCATATCATCTGAATCGGTGTTTATTGATATCCAAACTAGGGATGAAACAATGCATATAATGGGATGCATGCGACATGAGATGCAACATGAGATGCGACATGTCTCCACAATGATGAACAGCAGTAGTTGCCCTGCCACTTCTCCATCAAGCCAGTCAGGGCATCGAGGCATGTAATGTGATAGTAACAATTCCAGCCTCTCAGTGATGCGTTCCGTGTTATCATACGGCGACCAATGCGAGCAGTTGTGGCGCGTACATTGTCCTGTCCTGACAATTCATCTTATCTGTAGACGTTTGCTAGTCACTGTAGGAATATCTTTCCAGTCGATGGCCTTGCTGAACAATAACACATACATGGCTGCTGTAAAAAGCAAAAAGAGTCAAATAGCTTCGTGTATGTTGTTTATGAAACAGCCAAGACTACATGAGGGAATTAAATAAAAACAATAATTATATAAATCAAACAAGGCGATAATGGAAGTATCAGTACCTTTATTTCCATAGCTGATGTGACACAGTGGTGGTTTTACTGTACACGGTGTCTAACGATATGTGCAAATGATTGGTTGGACTTCTTTTGTGATGTATTTCAGGTAGAGAAGAAGGCGACTCCCGTCTATTAGCTATATGCACGATGTTTTTCAGCCATTCTCAGTTCAAATGTACAATTGCCAGTGGAAACTCGAGGGAAAAAAATGTTTCATGTTCGGTAAATTGCATTACCTTTCATGAAGTACAAGCATTAGAGAACCTGTTACTAAATATTCAGCACTCAGGCACAGACAATTACCCTGCAACAGCTCTTTATACTACTGTACCCTGAAGTTACAATGAAATTTACGTGACGACACCCAAGCCACAATGACCAGCTGCCTTTCAAATAGCAATACATTGAAATTGTCAAAAACAGCAGAATAAGATAGACAGTTTCACATGTCATCACACGTGGAAAAGCAATATGAACATCCGGGCGTGTACTTTATTTTTTCAGATTTTGTATATTGGGTATGAAAGCAAATGCCATTGTTAAAACTGATACGCTTTCTCCACGATAGTGCTAAAACAGAATTGCTGCGTTTCCAGTCACTGTGATACTGTATTGTCAGGCAATAATCTCACATGCTGGTCCCAACGATCTTAACAGTCATCTGTGTAACAACTCATTCTGTTTTTGAGTGACGTAAATTACAATGTTTCATTAATTTTGATACAAATAAACAATACCAAATGACAAACGTGCAACTATTAAATGCTTCTATTTAGAAGGGTTTCTCCCAAGTTGACAACTAATTAATGAAACCAACAACTTATGGCTAACCTGACCTTGAACATTAGATACATAGACCCTGATCAAAATACGACTGTCACGTAAATTATAATTACCAGTCAATAATTGCAACTTTAAATAGAAATGGGCATAGGTGATACTATCATAAGCAAGGACAAAAGCAGAACTTTCGGAGAACATTTGACGTATATGAACGTATAAAACATAGAAACCTGTACATGAATAAAAGCGGGTAGCTTAAAATCACTGGTTCGTGTGTTGTACTGGACACACCATTCTCATCAGACATTTTAGTCACTAAAGGCTCCCGTGGAACAACTTCTGCAGTCGCTTCATTCTGGGTCATAGTAGCTAGAATGGCTTTTACATTTTCTCCATATTTTCTGACATTACTTTTTGTTTCTTTCTCTACGTTTTCTTTTCTTTTTCAGCTCTAGACAGTGTACTGGTCTGCTTATAATACTTTTAACACGTTCCAATTCTTTCCTATTCCATTTGTTTCCCAATTCTGATTTTTCCGTTCTCTGTATTCTCTTTGTCTCTCTGCTTGAGATTTAGCTATAATACCTGCAATAGATGACCACAATTCAAGCAATAATGTATAGATTCCATCATTTAACATAATGTCACTTTCCTAACAATCCCAAATAAAGTAATGTAATTTACGTTAACAGCTAATACATTACTTCATAAATGCTTTATTATGAATCACATGCAATAACATCACTACTTTGAAGAGTATCCCAATAGCAATTTCTTTAAGGATAAAACATGCATGTTTTTAAGTATTATCATCATACCAACTGTGCAGTTTCACAAGTATCATATAAAGTACATCAACAAATAATCAAACACTGAAAATAGTTCTGTTTACATCTTTAAATTTAAATCCCCACGATCCAATCACATGTTTACTGCTTTATCACTTGATAGGAAACCATATGTTTCAACATTCAGCTTACTTTATACACCTGTGCTTTATACAGAAAAGATTAATGTAGAGGCAATGAAAAGTAATTTACGTCACAATTCCTGTAATTTACGTTACAGGGCCATGCACGGAAGGCAAAGAATGGTTTTCATAAATCATGTCTGAATTATGAAAGTATTTAAACTGATTAATCAATATATTATCGTAATGTTGCAAAAATGTAACTCGGAATCATTATACAGCATGTGTCAAGACAGTACAGTCATCCTTATCATTGAAAAACACTTATTCCACTTCAAAGTTCACATTCGAATGACGTGCTGAAATAACCACTGCTTCCAACGTGTGATTGCATAGGGTATTTGTGGTGCACTTTTTCACTTACAAGGAATTTCTGAACATCTACTAAACGTAAATTACAAAACGTAAATGACATCCTTATATTAAATGTCCAGGATGAGGGCCACATGACTCCGTTTTGTTGATTTAATGTTTGGAAACTTACACGGTTATGCTATCCATGTAAATGGATTAGGGCCAGCATCGATTCCTATGAGACTTATTTTACTGTGACCGTCACGTATGATTACATCCTTAACAAATTGTTCCAAGAACTACAGATAAAATGGGTTAGTTCGTTCTATTAAATCTCCTTGTCGATCAGTTGACATTTGTTTGAAAGCAATATTGAGTTCGGCATAGAATACAACCCATTTTACTTGCTAAACGTGTTTATATGTAGTAAATCTTATGTACATCAGTTATATATAACGTAAATTAAGGTTACTTCTACCGACAAAATTAAAACAAAAATGTCTTTTTGTTTCTTTCTCATTCTTGATTTTTATGTTCTTAAATATAAAAGCACCCTTTGAAGTTTCATTATGCTGGTTTATTACGTTTACTTGTAATTAATTAGTATTATCTAGAAGAGAATCATTGACGGCAATATGTTTTGCCGACAGCAAGAAAATCATAACCAACTGTAAAGGAACAGTCAGTTTCAGATATTTTCTCCAATGTTTGTGACTATTGCAGTTTACCAAAAACTTCTATTACATTTGACTATTGAATACTGTCGATTTCATAGGAAAAACGGTTTCACGTTAAGGATAGCGGGGCCTGTAACCAGTCGAAAGCATTTGTACAACTTAACTGAGAATGACTGTTTTGCGTTAAATGTATTCGCTATCTAGATATGACATAATATCCAATTGTTGCAAGTTTTATTTAATAAATGATGTCCTTTATTTCCTTTTTTGACTTGTACCACACGTGGGTAAACAATTGGCTTGCCTTTGCATCTGTTTATGAGGGGAAACCGGTGGGGCACCGGGCACTGTGATGGTGATAAACACATGATTTCGTCGGAATTACACAATCGATACTTTTAATGGATGTAATGAGGTTTTGTCGCTTATATTTAGTGGACGGGATCCGGAAACCATTTACCGATACTGTATTGTGCCTGCATGTGATAGATTGTATTATTTAACAATTATTCCCCGATATAATGACATTTATATCGATTTCATTTGCGTTTTCCGTTTGGCAGATGCACGATATTATTACCAATGTTTCATGTATACATTTCGTAGTATTACATTAAAATTAATTCAGGTGGTGGATGAAATTTGTCTTTATACACGTCAAGGTATATTACAGCTAAATAGATTCATAGTGATGTCCAATCATGCACGAAGTCTAAAGCCAACATGACATTATTTCTATTTTAGACCAAACCTGATCCATCCAATTGTTTAGAAGCATAACAACATCCCCATCAATGTTCAACCTAGTGATTTCAGTTGTCCTCAAACAAATCCTTCCTGTCCATTAAGTCAGTTTATGAAGTCAAAGGTGGCAGCATGGTCGTCACTTTGTGAAATTATATTCAGGGTCAAGCGATAATGTCGTGACACATCTGGCCACGTATAGATCATATCACAGCCAGGCTAATCTGGTCTGATTGCGTCTGAGTACGAGTATTCGATAAATGATATATGAGGCCGCTGAGTTGATGCTCAGGCCACAACAGCGCCTGGCAATGGGGGATCTCTGACCAACAGCTGGTTATTGTAGCAGATCACACAAGCTGATAGCAGTGTAACTAGTTTCATTTTATAGACTGAGTGCTACTATTTTGGTTTACGATGGTTTAGTATATCAGTTGGTTCATCGAGTAGTGGTTCATCGTGGGTGGAACTAACGCCGATTTCTGACGTGGAAACACGATCAGCGTTAGGCGGGTAGAGTCAAAGACACCTGTTTCCTCCATGCCTCCCAACGTGATGAAATAGAAGCAAAAAGGCTTCAAGATTCAAATACCTTGAACATTTCTGTGGCATAAATGTTCACTGAACAGGGTACCTGTTAACAAAGCGATATTGGAGATACAGTTATCGAAATGCCAATACTATAACATTGACTTACATATACGACCATCGTAGCGCTAAGATCGCAACACTAGTTTCGAATCCTGGTTTTGTGTAATATTTTATCTTTTCTCCTGTTACTTAGAACGACAACAACAGTTCTGATCCTTGATATATCAGAGCGGCGGTGTAAAACACAACCAACTCAGTCTTGACATAATGCTCTATTTGACCCATTTTACAGAGAACGCCACGAGACAATGTACAGTCAACGGAACCTGGTTTGTGTCCCCTGAGAGGAACCACACCTGGACCAACTTCACAGCCTGCTCAAAACCAACCATCGATCTCAAGTTTCATGCGGTTTGTTGACTAAGTTGGACTTTGATTTGTGTCTACTATAACATGACATTGCGTAGAGTACCGACAGAGAAATGATCATATTTTTGAAATTGGAACCCGTGTGAGTGTTTCGTTCATTGCGCCTAACAGGCAGCATGGCTGTATGACCCCCAGGAGTTGAAAAAGTATCGGAAAGTACGATAGTGTCCTACGACCGGGAGAGCAGAAGGTTGCGGGTTCGATCCCCGACCGTGTCATACCAAAAGACGTTAAAATATGGTACTTGTTGGTCCCTGCCTGGCGCTCGGCATTAATGTGTACTGGTCGGCTCGGAGTCAGTATAATGGGTCTGAGTGGGGTATTCATGCTTTACTGCTGCATGGTATCTCAGTGGGCTAGCACTATAAAACCAGCTTAAGTCTGGGCTAGTACAAGCAGCCGCACATACACATACACAAGCATGCACGTCGTCATATGAGCGAAATATTCTCAAGCACGACGTAAAACCCAATTTCACCTCACCTCACCTATGACCGGAGATATTAATGTACGAAGCGCCGTGAGCAAGCAATGTGCCTGGATAGGAGCGTCATATAAGTGGACTATTACTATAACTATTATGTCTTGCCGACCAACTCAAAAGACCATCATTTACTTTTGCTGCTGTCCTTTAAATGTGACGTCTCTTTATAATGTCGACTCGATCTTCTCTGAGGTATAAAAGTTCTTCTATTGACATAGGTCGGCGGTGGGGTAGCCAAGTATTTACAGCGTTAGCTCCTCACGTCGAGGACCCGGGTTCGATTCCCCACATGGGTACAATGTTTGAATCCCATTACTTGTGTCTTTCGCCGTGATATTGCTTAAATATTGCTAAAGCGGCGTAAAACTAAACTCACTATTGACATGTAGATCTATTAATGTGTTTTTAAATTGCATTATACACACATTGTTTACACAAACTTAGTATCAAAGCTTACGTTATAAATGCCTTATGAAATTCAAGATGGTGTACCTGACACAAGTCGACGGACTGACTGACTGAGTTTAGTTTTACGCCGCTTCTAGCAATATTCCAGCAATATCACGGCGGGGGACACCAGAAATGGGCTTCACATATTGTACCGATGTGGGGAATCGAACCCGGGTCTTCGGCGTGACGAGCGAACGCTTTAACCACTACGCTACTCAACCGCCCCCAAAGTCGACGGAACCTACAGTTTATGTCAAAATGATGTCGAAAAGGATTAGCAAGATCGCTAAATGCCCGTAAACTATTATCCCTCTAAAGAAACGTCTTTAATGTGGTAAATTCTTTGAGTGGCATTTTAGAAGTAGGGAAGTACAATATAGACAAACTTTATGGATAACAACGTCGCACTCACGAAATAAAGCAAATGGTATCCAAAATATTTATGTATGATGTGGTGAATTCCTCTGAATATTTCTGTATTGTCGACTAAAGGTAAACCCGGGCTTAAAATTTTAAGTTGTAAGCAACTTGTGTTTTCCAATGAAAATGTAACAACATGTTCATCCTTAATCTCACTCTAAAGCGAATTCTTGACGTCATAATCTGGCGCTAGCCATAATCTTCAATGTGAAGGAGGAATTTACGATCGGAAAATCGAAATTATCCATCACAGATCCATTCGCTGGGGATCAGAAGGTTTTCTGGCCTAAATGTAGGTCATATCCTGTGGATTATGACCAGAATACATCCAGGTCTTGTTGATGCGGATACAGCAGGTGGTTTTGTTTTGGATCAAACAGAGCTGGTTGCCACTGACAGAAAACGACAACATGTAGGAGACATTTATAACGCCCTGTATCTTTACTGATTTTCAGCCACCCCCCATATTTTCACCATTGCTAAAATGATGTCAAAAAGGCCGTAAATGCCCGTTAAACTATTATCCCTCTAAAGAGACTTCTTCTTCTTTCACCGCCAGTAGAATCTGATCGGCAGGTTATCCCGACGGATTATTGTCTAGCGTTGACGTTTTTGAAGTTCTTGTTCCGCTGATGCTGTACTTCTTTATTCATGCGGTTATTTTCTTTATGATATTTCGTTCCCGTTTGTCTCGGTGTAGTTCGAGAGAATCAAGAGGCTATTGTGACTATTGTTACTATTATAATTTATATTTCGACATACCGATATATCCTTCCAGGAGAACGCTGCCAGATTGCGGCTCATGTACAGCGTCGGCTACAGCGTCTCCGTCGCCTTCCTCGTCGTCGCCGTCGTCATCATGCTGTGTTGCAGGTCAGACTAACACTGGGAATGTGTGGAGGGAATGTTGATGAATGTCATGGCGCAATATTCTAGCTTTATCATCCTGTGAGTGAGTGAGTGTTGACAAAGTAAAACAGTAAAAACATGACACACTATAAACCATCTGTGAACGATAACACGCCAACCGAACTAGAGCTCTAATCAATTTTAGTCGACTCTCTTGTCATGCGTAGGATGGAGGGACCGATTCTGGCTTTGAAGCACCGTGTTGTTGAGGATGATACAGCCAAGGACTTGACATTAAAGACAATCTGATAAAGCATCACCATGACTGTACATAGCATGCTAATATCCAGGAGGATGAAATAGGAAACTCACAGGCTATAGAACAAGGCTGGAACCTCGTTCTTACGGATAGTCACCATGTATTGATTGCATTGAAAACGTCTAGATTTAAAGTAACGCATATCACTTGTATTCATTTTTGTTCGAAATTATGGGGGACAATTTCACTTGTTGTTGATACATGTCCGTATCAATTGAGTATCGCTCTATTATACCATCCAGGGGCACAGGCCCTCGTGACTTTGCAAGGATTAGAGATGTTTAAAAAACATAAAACATTGAGGTGACCCCCGACTCGAAACGCTTCACACTACATTACATTATGACAAGGCCGGACACTTCGGTATACCCTATCCGCCTGCTTTGCCGATCGCTACGCTACCATCGCATGCAATCGATTAAAACTTAATGTAAACATAATCATTGATGGAATCGATCACCGATTGGTCAAAGCAAGCCCTCTGGTTGATTGATCCCTGTTTATGAGACATTTACAACTGATGCTTCCTTTTGAGAAGCCATTGCCCGAAAAATATCCTTACATTAAGCAGTCGATGAAAGGAAAAATTCCCGCGAATCTATAAAGAATGTGCAGATTTGCAAGCTTTGACCAATCAGAGGGCTTGCTTCGACCACACCCTCGTTTTGTGCGGACATATCGTCATCCATTTGTGTCAAGATCGTTTAGTTGAGGGTCAGAATCGGGTTTCAATCGACTTGCAGAAATAACAATAAAGAATTGGTAGGTGTTATGAGTTGTGATCGATAGGCCAATCATCCATGATTATGTTTACATTAAGTTTTAATCTACTACATGCCATGGTAGCGATCGGCAAAGCAGGCGGGTAGGGTACACCGAAGTGTCCGGCCTTGTCATAATGCATAGTACTGTGTAGCATTTCGAGTCGGGGGTAATCTCAACAACAAAAATAAATTAATCTTTAATCTTCGCAAAGACACGAGGGCATGTGTCCAGGGGCCCGTTTCACAAAGCGATCGTAGCGCTACGACTGTCGTACGTTTACATTAAAGTATGGGAGTTACGATCATCTTAGCGCTACGGTCGCTTTGTGAAATTGTTCCCAGGATATGTATGCGTCCCTCAGCTGCTGCTGGATCTATTTATGGTCATGAAATGAGACTCCCGACAATAATCCTTGCCTTATCAAAGATAATACACATAATAATGTGGGTGTCACAAACAAGTAGTACGGAAAACCTGTACAATTACGTCAACTTATAAAAGGTCATAATACATTCATGACCGAAGTGTGTGTTAATTCTACCATATTTGTACATGCAATACGGTGTTTTACTGACATTGCAAAGTGGGTTATTGGTCACAAGTGGGTGGGACATTGGTGGGTGGTGAGGAACATATAAGGGAACATGCGTCAGTGGCGTCTTAGAGTCCTTAAAAATTGTGTTTTTAGTTTAAATTACATTGGCGATAGAATTTAATTATAAACTATTTAAGTCGCGAATGTTTTCCTCTGTGTCACCAAATACAATGATTTGGCGTCAAATATCTTCATCTGGAATTTACAAAGTTCTCTGATCCGTTCTACGTTATTTCAATTCTTATGCCAATAATGAACAGGTTTTACTCAAAATAATGCTCTCTCTTCCACGGCAGCCGGTACGTTATGTGAAGCATTGCCTTGTTTCTCTCGTACACATATGCTTGTTAAGTTGTTACCTGAAAAGAAATTTCTTTCTTTTAAACACACCTGAAAATAGAATCATTAAGTTAGAAATAAGCTATAAGTTATGTCTCTTAAAAGAGAATTGCGAGAAAACAAGATAAATTTATGCAGGTAGTTATTGCGATAAAAAGGTTACTTGTCATTATTGAGACTTGTAAGTAGGTCATAAGAACGGTCGATACAGTATTTCCTTCATGTGTGAAATTATATGTTGAACAAAAGCATAAGACATCTGACAAAATTTTGTAATCTAGTAGGGCACGTTGGTGTCTTTTTCATATCAACATGTATAACCCGTCTTTAGCACATGAAATATGCATTTGGGGGATCATTTGCAGTGTGTCATTTGAAACAAACAACGTGGTATATTTTTCCTTCGCTAGTTTTTCTGTTTTACTGGCCTAACGCAGAAGCACAGCAATGCCATATTTCTTTGCAAGCTTCAGCAAAATACGTTAGCGAGACGACGTTTTGTATTGAAACATTTCAGCTGATGAAACTGTACCTACTCAACTACCATCTTCACACAAACATGTGCTTTCTCAAATATGTAGACATGATCTCAACATTACACGTAAGGATTCGCCGATAATTATATTTTTTGCTTAGAGGAGTGGAATGGTCGGGTGGCCAAGTGTCTGGAGTGTAAAAAATCCAGGTTCGATTTCCCAGGTGGGTACAATGTGTGGATCCAATTTCTGGTGTCCTCCGCCGTCATATTGCTGTAATTTTGCTACAGACGACGTAAAACCATACATTACATGCATTTTAAAACAAGCCAGCGAGCAAATCAAATCAGTGTCAGTTGCTGTACAAAAGTTCACGGAAGAGTTATACTGTTATAATAGCTACATATATGTATATAATACCGAAAAACTGCTTTGAGAAAATAAATGACTGACACAAATAATAGTTTGAGGATCTGGAAGATGGATCGTGGTCAATTATGTCTGTGTCATCAATGTACGGCTGGATACACCCTTATCGAACATCTGTGAGCGAAGGCTTGTGACCAACAAGTCTTCAGTAAATACCAGGTTTTAAACTATAGGACATCCGTTCCATGGTAACAATAAAACATAATTACACATCAGATGAAACAGAACAGTTATTCACAAATACCATTATTATAGGTACGCTTAGAATGGATCAAGGATTTCTCAAATAGTATGTTTGGATAATATAGGGATAATATATTACACAACTCTCGTCGCTATGTGGCTGAATGAACGTCGATGTTAAGTTAACTTTCTAAATCAGCATATGAGACCATACAACTTTACTATATTCACGTATGGGTATGTACGCCCCGTTTTTGTTGTCTAATTGTTATTTTGTTGAGTATACTTCAGCGTATAACATGATAGTATTTTCCCATGGAATTGGTACTGGTAGAATGTTGTCTTTATCTTGTTTCATGAAGACGGATGCACAGCAAGAGTAACACCCTTCACGTCAATCTCTTCATTGCCTTCATTCTGAGGGCATCCGTCTCCTTCCTCAAGGATCTGTTGTTTAAAGGAGTTGGTCTGGACATGGATGTCAGACTCAAATCAGACGGGACCTACGAGTTCCTGGAAGGCCATGTGAGTTGTGATAAATGCACAACTGTCAATATGACACCAAAAATGTTGATACCCAAAATACCGAATATCCTTCTTCTTAATATCCTTGTCCTGCTAAGAGTATGAATTTATGTGTTTGGTATGAAGGTCATAGGCCCTTGGCAACTGAAGATTATGGCTTGCTGAGATTACATCAGGACATTTCTTGATATAACAAAGTCTTTAACAATTTTTGTACAGTTCTTAAAGCATTTCTTCAGATTACAGATAATAATGGTCGTTCTTGTAAGTAATATCAGAAATTCAGGTTATAGCATAATATGTTGTATATGTAATTCCCGTTTATGTCTGGGCACTGGGGAGCAATAGTAAGGTAGTAACGCAGATTGTGCGACATAATTAACAGATGTCGGACAGGGTAGACAATGTTTCGCTTGGAAAACGTTCTCAAGTTTCAAAGTCACAAAGATTCCATACTTTTACTTGCGCAATCGAGGATACATATTCAGGCTATATATTCAGGATACATACTCCGGCACTGAGCGGGCAAGGGGATATGGGCTGGGCATCACTACTGAAAGCAGAAACGGACAGAACCATTCATTGACATTTCGATTTCAGCACTGGCAGTGCAAGCTCGTGTTTGTGATCTTCAACTACAGCATATCAGCCAGTATCATGTGGATCTTTATAGAAGGCCTGTATCTCAACATGCTGATATACAAGACTCTAGCCACAGAGCGGAGAGGCGTAAAGATGTATGTTATTTTAGGCTGGGGTGAGTTAACAGACTCCCAGGGGTATTGGATGTTAATGTTAATATGACATTGACACGAAGGTGAACATCATGACTTGCATTGGAGTTAATTATCAACAGTATGAGACAGAAGGTATACATATCTGATCCGTCTAAACCTCCTTACACTCCACTCTGTCATGGGAGCATCTCGGTTCAGTCTACCTGGCAAAGAAGACATAATGTGTGTGACCTGACGCTGAATGCTATTTGGAGCGGCAGTTTTCGTACACATAAGCTCCTGTGTTGTAAAATATATGAACAGGATAAACAAAACACCGTCTCACAGGGGAATTTTGAACTTTCTTCAACAAATATTTTATAGGTCTGATATGGTGAGATGCTGTTTATCCAAGATCATGTTTAAAGTTTAAGTTAATTTATTTTGTAAACAGTAATTATCTTTATTGGCAGATATTCTAGTGTTATTTGGGGCGGTGGGGTAGCCTAGTGGTTAAAGCGTTGGCTCGTCACGCCGAAGACCCGGGTTCGATTCCCCACATGGGGTCAATGTGTTAAGCCCATTTCTGGTGTCCCCCGCCGTGATATTGCTGGAATATTGCTAAAAGCGGCGTAAAACTAAACTCAGTCAGTCAGTCTAGTGTTATTGGATTGTGACAACAGCATAATCGTTCTGATGTCACAATGGTCTCCAAAGTATCGTGATGCAATTTCATGTTAGCCATGTGTCCCATGATGGAAGGTTTGGATAAAACATTATGTTTTAAGAACTTATATGTTTCTTCCTTTCAGTCATGCCAATATTCCTTCTGATCCCATGGGTTATTGTAAAAGCTGTATATGAAAATACATAGTGAGTATATTCTGGTCACCTTGGGGATTCTGGGTAAGATTGTAGGTAACCTATACTAATGGCAAAGACTAAAAAGAATCTTTGGTCATGATGTCAATTACTGACTTGTCTGGTCCACAGTCGGCTATTTCAGTATATCTTGAATACCGCCTTGCGTTGCGTTAAACATCAGATCAAAATACATCTTGGTAATGCCTAAGTCACTGTGAAATGGGAATAACTCTATAATCTATGTGTATCGCATATTAATAGACTCATCGATTAAGTGTTACTTTTACTATATTTTCTTGCTTTTGAGCAATCATTCTAGTAAGCATTCTAATAACTCTATTGGGTTCTTCAAGATGAGCAATTGTACTTTCAGTAGTTTTAGTTATGTCTCAGTCATTGTGGAAGGGAAATAACTATGTACATAGTGTACTTTCAGTAGTTTTAGTTATGTCTCAGTCATTGTGGAAGGGAAATAACTATGTACATAGTGTACTTTCAGTAGTTTTAGTTATGTCTCAGTCATTGTGGAAGGGAAATAACTATGTACATAGTGTACTTTCAGTAGTTTTAGTCATGTCTCAGTCATTGTGGAAGGGAAATAACTATGTACATAGTGTACTTTCAGTAGTTTTAGTTATGTCTCAGTCATTGTAGAAGGGAAATAACTATGTACATAGTGTACTTTCAGTAGTTTTAGTCATGTCTCAGTCATTGTGGAAGGGAAATAACTATGTACATAGTGTACTTTCAGTAGTTTTAGTCATGTCTCAGTCATTGTGGAAGGGAAATAACTATGTACATAAATATCATTTTCTCTGATGAAATAATTCCTGCTTGCATTAACCAACCTTGAGGATATAATCAATGTGTGTCAGTGTAGTGATTGTTAATGCACTCGTTGCAGTCCCTCCCAACATTTCATTCCCTTTTTACATAAATCATTCATGTCTATTAAGAACTTTTGACAGAATATGAAATATGACCGTAAACTTTGTATTTTCAGTTGTTGGAATATTCAAGAAAATCGGCAATATTTCTGGATATTGAAGGGCCCAGGTGTCGCAATCGTCATTGTAAGTGCCAGTAAATGTGAAAATGTTATTAACAACATCACAATAATATGTCGTTATATATATTATACGTTAATGTTTAGAAACAAATATAAACATCTACAATCTCTGGTTCATCTGAATATCTTTCATTACTACCTTGTTTGTGCCGTTTAATTTACAGATTAACTTCATATCGTTTGTCGACATTTCCCGGATATTATGCATGCGTGCTCGACACAGCAAGACCAGCGCCGGGAAGGCGAAATACAGGTAAATATGATGACCAGGGTGTATACAGGTAAATATCATAACCAGGGTGTATACAGATAAATATGACCAGGATGTATACAGTTCAGTATGATGACCAGGGTGTATACTATTGTTGGGAATTGGATAAAACCTCATAATTGATGATTGTTTCATTACAACCGATAAATCATCGAATATAATTGGTTAGCGTCATTTATGAAATTTTCCTGTTTTTTGTTAATGAAAAAAAAACATAAAGAAAAAACATGTAGTTTTGGGGGGATTTTTGTGTGGCAAATTTCACATCTTGAAAAGATTACTACTTAACTAGTATGTTAGGAACATAAAATTCCATGAGTCTTTAAGATATTTAATCATGACTTGGAACAAGCTTGTATTGGTTATGAAATGTAACTTACAAAACCAACCTTGTGAAAAATATTGTTAATGCAAAAAGTGTTCCAGAATTGTTTGTGTTCGATTATGAGAAAACATGATCGATTGCTTGGTCGTTTAGTCACCGCGACCAATCTTCGATTATTTCAATTAATCGGACCACCACTAGTGTATACAGGTAAGTATGATGACCGGGATGTATACAGGTAAATGTGATGACCACAGTGTATACAGGTAAATATGATAACCAGGGTGTATACAGGTAAATATGATGACCAGGGTGTATACAGGTAAATATGATAACCTGGGTGTATACATGTAAAAATGATGACCAAGGTGTATACAGGTAAATATGATGGCAAGGGTGTATACAGGTACAAACATGTGATGACCAAGGTGTGTACAGGTAAATGTGATAACCAGGATGTATAAAGGTAAATATGATGACCTGGGTGTATACAGGTAAATATGATGACCAGGGTATATACAAGTACATGTGATGACCTGGGTGTGAACAGGTAAATATGATGACCAGGGTGTATACAGGTAGATGTGATGACCGGAGTATAGATGTAAAAATGATGACCAAGGTGTATACAGGTAAATATGATGGCAAGGGTGTATACAGGTAAATATGATGACCAGGGTATATACAGGTAAATATTATGGGTCTGTGTTATGATTGAATGGCGTTTGCACGAATTTGTGTTTCTATGACCGATACTTGGAAGAAAGATTTCGAATCAGTTGTGGTTCCGCCGCATCCTGCTTTACAGAAAAGTGTAGTAAACAGTGATGGTATTATGACGTCGTCACGTGACGTCATGAATGTCATGTAAATGAGCTTTTAGACTTCATGCAAAAAAGCGTGATCGTTAAACGTTTATATTTACGTCGTCGATTCAAAGGGAAATTTACCGACATGACAATATCCCCCGAAATTACATAATTTACTTTCCTACTTATTTGGACAGGAAATTAGCCAAGTTTATCCTGGTATTGATTCCGCTGTTTGGCGTGACGTACATTGTGTTTCTTGTGGCCTTCCCTGCTGAGTTCAACACACACTCCATCAACATGGCGCATCTCTACATAGAAATGGCGTATAACTCCTTCCAGGTAACACAGGGACACTCACGTCAATGGTGGATTCAGGTTTTAAAATCATTTTACATAATTCTGTATTTCAAGAAATAAAGAAAGTATTATACATCTTTCTTAGGGAAGTTTCGAACTATTGTCATTTTTGAAAGATCCAAACCAACTGTAGCTTGGAAGAGATGATTAGATTCGCAAGTGTTTAGTAGAATGTAACGTGAATAAAGCGTTCCAAATCACAAGTCAAGCTAGGTTCAATTTCTCGATGCTGCTGCAAAGCTGCTTGTAAACCATTAGCAAAAGCGTTCACTTGTCATCCGAAGTCTCGGATTACTGTGAAGCAATTCTCGCGTGATATAATTCGCCGTGATGTTTCTGGAATGTTGCGAAAAACCTTGTCAAAGTAAATTCACTCTCACTTGACGAGTTGACACGGCTGTTTCCGAACCACCGTCGCCGTTAGTCTCTCCGGGAACAATTATGGATGATTTGTAAAGCCGCTGTACAGATAAATTATTTTTAACAATACAAAATGTCTAGTCGTTAGTTACATGTTGTAGTCATGCAAAATTGTTAAGGAAACGGAACCTGATCGCGAAAAATATTATGTGCTGAACCAGATCATTTCTGTTTTGACAGGGTCTTGTTTTGGCAGTGCTCTTCTGCTTCTTAAATGAAGAGGTGAGTGAAGCTGCAGTAAAATGGGAATACAATATGTTCACGTTTTTTTTGAGGTTTTACTGTTTTATTGCTAGAAATCTCGCTGGACTGTGACGGGTGCATGTAGATTGCACCCATAGCTTAATAGATAATGATTCGCAAGGATTTGTTTAACGTTTCGAATACAGTTTTAAGTTTTGAGTGTATGTTAAGGCATTTCTGGGTAAGAATTCGGCTTCTAGTACCCACTGCGTGTGGTAAAAGGCCACCAAATTGGTAGGGTTGGGACTCGCTGATTTAGTTGATGCATATGCATTGTATCTACTCAAATAATTTAGACAAGAACTGGATTGTTTGGTTCAGAAGCGACTACACCCTGACTATACCCTGTAGATTGTTTTATCTTAATTCCAATGTATAGAATCTGTTCTGAGATAATATGATATATGCTAATGGAAAAGGGCAATTTCAGCTTTTGCTCTTAAGAAAACTTCATTTGTATGTTTTGTATTTTGTATGTCTTCGTGTAAATACTTTGGTTTGTATGATTGAAATATTGCATCAGCAGAGAAATTTGGACAAGAATTTTCAATAGAATTTATTGTGACGTTTCAACTTTAAATCAAAATGTCATTACCGCAACGGCGGCAAAAATACTGATCAATTTTGCTTAAAAACAGCTAAGAAATCGAAAGAGTTGTTAGGCGTCACATATGTGGCTGTTTATGAGTATGTTTGTGGAATAAATGGTCATTCTTTTAAATTATTTTGATGCATTTAATTTTTTTTGAGTTTTTAGCATGAAGGTAAAAATAATAACCGAGGCAACAATAGCTCTTTTTTCAAACAGTTATCAAAAAAGGATAAAACATTGAATTCCTTTGGGCCTCCCATGAGTTAAAAGGGTTCAAAGAAATAGTTGGTTGTATAATCATAAATACTTCGTAAAAGGTGTATGACTACGTACGCAAGGCAGCTGATTGCGTGATCTGGACTTTTCTCCACGAACAATTCAACTTGATTTCTAGATTTTACATAATGAATGGTTCAATATTTGATAGACATTATTTACGGTAACATGGATCAGCTAATAGCGCATTGACACATTCATACGATCACTCGGGGCGGTGGGGTAGCCGAATGGTTAAAGCGTTGGCTCGTCACGCCGAAGACCCGGGTTCGAATCCCCACATGGGCACAATGTGTGAAGCCCATTTCTGGTGTCCCCCGCCGTGATATTGCTGGAATATTGCTAAAAGCGGCGTAAAACCAAACTCAGTCAGTCAGTCATACGATCACTCAACCATGCCCTTTGCCGGTTGAGCGACACCATTTTCAACTCTGTTTTTCTTAAATGAGGCTTTCCCGTGGGATTATATGACTATTTGAAGCATTAATGAATTTGGTTACTTAATTTGAGTCGTGTCAATCAACTAATTTAGGTATATATAATACATGTAGTCAGTGTAATTTGCATTATAACCAGGGGAAAATGACTTTTGTTCCCAAAACCATTGGCAAACGGCATTATATCTAGTTTGGCATTATAACCAGGGTATTGTATAGGCAGGAAATCCGTCCTGGCAAAAACATGCCATTATATCCAGGGTGGCATTATAACCAGGGTATTATATAGGCAGGAAATCCGTCCTGGCAAAAACATGGCATTATATCCTGGGTGGCATTATAACCAGGGTATTATATAGGCAGGAAATCCGTCCTGGCAAAGACATGGCATTATATCCTGGGTGGCATTATAACCAGGGTATTATATAGGCAGGAAATCCGTCCTGGCAGAAACATGGCATTATATCGGGTCATTATAACCAAAATATAGGCAGGAAATCCGTCCTGGCAAAAACATGGCATTATATCCAGGGTGGCATTATAACCAGAGGCAGAGTGTTAGTGTTAGAAACAAGAATCATCCTCGCATGTCTCGCATTGACAAATGGGTCATTGGTCCAAATTCGTTTGCTTGTAGTTTCGGCTACTCAGTTTGACCCGATGATGATCGCTGGTTTGTGAGTGTTATTCGTGTTCGTTGTACCTAATGAGAATGAATGACACGCGAACGGATATTATACATTTCCCATGATACTTTAATCACTTCATTTCCTTCCAGGTTCACGGTGAGCTAAAACGTCTGTGGAGACGCCATCAGAGCCGAAGGAGCGACATGGCAGCTTTCCGTATGTCGTCCGGTAGTTCATGGAAGAAGTGCTCTAAACCATCGCCTGCTCTGGACAGAAGACACCACAGAGAGCAGATGAGGAAACAGGCTTCTACAAAGCCTGGGTATAACCATGAACACACTAACGAGTTACTGAAGACAACGCTGTTTACCAGGGCGTATAACGTCGTCAGTATCAGTGATGACATTGCTGGGGGTGGTGGAGAGGAGATCGTCCTCTTCCGGTGAAAGGGGTTTCTTTTGCCATGGACAACAATGCTAACACACACTCTGTTGGAGGAAACCTACTGTGTGACCACGCATAAGGAGGGCATCAAAGCTAGGACAGAGGGTCAAGACTTGTGTAATTGTAGGTCCACAATCTGGGGTTGTTCAGATCATTGAGTTAGGGAATCTGGAATAATATTCGTTAAATTTCCCATGTGTATATCACTGTAGTAGATGTGATGGATGTGGAGGCACACAGCAAGCAGCACGTGGTCGAATCCGGACCAGAGAAACCAGAGGATGTAAATCTAGCATGGTCAGCAATCCAGGCTGTTGGGGCACAGCCACACAAACGAGTATGACTATCAAGTACAGTACACGTTGAATCCCCAATGAGAAGAAACAAATACTAACCATGATGAATATGAGATGCCTCTAAGACGTATGTACATAGTCACCTTATGTGTGTACGTGTATATGTATGCCTTTATGATAAAATTCATTATGTTTTGAGAAGGTTAACTGTTTAATATACGATCACATGCCTGTGTGTCATTCATTGTATCAATGGTTCGCTTTATAATCTTATGTCAATGAAAATGATATGTCCCCACACACCTTACTGTTGCTCAATGTAATAGATGTTTTTGTAATAAAATTATCCATGGAAATAATATGTCCAGCTGTGTCATGATCTGAAACGTGCTCAAAAGACAAACCAGAGATGAAAATTATATGTATGAACCACTGAAGCTCGGGGGAAATCGTAAATGCTATGAAAATACTTTCCCCCGTGCGTCATAACCTTGTGTACAGACATGTCAACTGTCAGAACCGCTGATCACAGATTCATGATTAGACCGATTCAGTTTGTCATGATCCTTTTCTTGCCCATACCTTTATCCTGGTGCTGATGTGACGTAACTAAGGTACTTTTTACAGGATGTGAAACCGTAACATACTTACAAATGATGTTAAAATGAACATACTCATATTCCCACCTTTTTCGTGAACTCGTCTCGTATTTTGGCTTGATTCCTCGGGGACGGTACACATTACGTAAAGTCACATACATGTCCTGACCGCCCTCAGAGACGGTACATGGTATATACGGTCACGCCCGTCTCTGACCTTCCTGGAAAACGGCACACATTATGCATATTCATGTTCATGGCTTGAACTGTACATACTAAATGCAGTCACATTAGGCTAAATATCCTCGGAGAACAGTATTTACTGTATACATTTTCGTTTAGGTCCGGCCTTCTTGGGAAACTGTGCAAACTACTTACGGTGCCCTTTCCCGGAATTCTGGAAGAACTTTCAACATTATGTTATACAGTCTCGTAAAAGCACTAGGCTACGTCACCGCACTTTAATGAGAGAACCGGCCAATATACAACACAATGTGATATGAAAATAAAATTTATTCAATTATGGTAATGACATTTGCATAAATGCGTCGAAGACAGCACAATACTGAGTTTAACCGTAGCTGTGAGGTCATCAAGGCGGCTTAAGGCTGGGAAGATCAACTGGATAACGTTTGACGAGAACAGCGAAGCCATACCGTTGCCCTGTAAAGCTGCAAACGGTGTTACCTACTAGTTTGATTGGAGACACTTATCGTTTGAGGGACGGACCATTCATTTCCAGCGAGTTTGGGTACTGGTCTTGTGAGGGGGACGACGAAACCATACTGATCGTCCACTCGTAGAATGTACTGTGTGACTTGTTAGTTTCACCGGGTTGAAAACATATATCGTTGGAGGGATTGTCTAGCGATTATTGGTCTGCCCTGGGTTTCATTTAAAAGAAATATTGACTTCCATTATACACTGAACAAATATATTTGCCTTATGCTGTAAATTATGCACCTGATATTCCGACTAATATTTTTACCTACCGCAGTCTTAATTTCGGGATATACGCAGTCTTGGATAAACGATCGTCTAGTAACTGTGCGTATATGTTGAAACATGAAACACAGAACTGTCGGAGCGTTGATGTAAGTATGTGATGTATCATAACTGCACATAACCACATTCTACACAGGCAGTGTCCATCGTTTGTGCAATATCACCACTGATAGACCAGCAGGAGAACCTCATCAGCAGTGAGTCCCTGACCAGAAGAGGTAGACCAGGATCCACTGATTTACATTGTGGAAATTATAACTGAACTTATATCCTAGACATTGATATTTGTGTTCCTGTCCTGTGAAGAGAAATAGGATATGGTAATGAAACATAGTACATGGGTCCGTCACTTTGTAGCTGGACAAACAGCACAGCGGAATATACTTTGTCAGTCTGTAGATAAGATGTCCCAATCTCAGATGTATTCACACTCAGTATTCTATCACATTAACGTTCGGAGGTATTAAGACTCAACAGATATGAGAATACTGCCGTCATTCCAAGATCGATAAGAGACATATGAAGTACTTGCAAGTCTATTACGAAATGACCATCGTAACAGTGTTCCATGATATATTTTGGAATTACACTTTTTTCCACCGCAAAAGGAACTAGAATCTGTACTTTGCAGGTAACGTGTAATCCCAAATATAACATGCATTGTATCTGACCACATTCTAAAAGGCATTGTGCATTCGTCATAGCATAACGTCTTATATGTCAAGGCCTTGCCTGTATATTTGTATGTTACATTCCGCGATGGAGTAAAGCCACATGCCAATCACAGGAACATCCAGAAACATAACATGACAATCCCCTGGCGGTTCCATTAAATACATCCTTATATCATCCCATACAAACATGATCCCATAGGAATTCAGTCACAGAATTAGTGAATTTCAATTGGATAAATTTTGTACCCAATAACTACAAACATTCTGTCACACATTCTCTGCGCAATTGGTAGCAGTTACGTCCCTTGATGGCACAGAGACTTCAAGAGAGCTACATTCAGTGTTTTGTTCAGAAAGAATGCGCTTTGCATTTGCAATTAATGCTTTTTTCAGCAGATGATCTGATTTGTCATGTTCACATGAGGACGTTGGGCCAAGTTTGAGCCTGCCACACTCTCCCTGGCGGCGTTCTGAAGCAGGAGAAGACTTGCTTCCAGAGGACTTCCTCCATGACGATGCACCCAAGGATCTTGTAAATGCGGCATCGTCTGCTCGTCTGGATTTGTGGCGGTACCACATCTTTTTAATCTCGGCGTGGACCTGTAAAGTTGAGAGGAGGTTTATCTAGATGTATTAAATTATAAATCAAGTTAAAAAATGTTTCCAGATATTGAAACTTTGTCCTCAATGAAACACAGGTGCACCTTACACGTACCAGTCCCAATGTAATTGGACAAACAGGTACATGAGAAAGGGTATTCGTGATTACAAGTATCAAACTTTAGACATTTAAAATTCCATTAAACAACCTTCACCTATATATATATATATAGGTATATATATATATATATATATAGGTGACCCGTCCGATTAGTATTGTGCCACGACAACACTGGCACATCAATACCCTAACGTATATATCTGTGTTGGAAGTAGAAGAAAGTGGACATACCTCTTCATTCAAAAAGCAGAACAGCAAGGCAAGAAGAAACCCCTGAAATACATACCAAACGTTTTGTTTCCGAACTAAACACAATCTAAATGATAACGCAATAAGGTATGAAATAAAATGTGATATATTAAAGTATAGCTCATCTATCAAGTTACTAATCAGGAAACTAATCAGGATACTAATCTTGAAGTTATCAGGTTTGCGTGATACACAGATAATAATGAGTTGCTTCTCGACAAGAGAAAAACAGGCACGGATGTCAAAGACATTGTGCTTTGTTTTGATTGAAACCTTACTTGTACATTATTAAAGCATTATTACAATGATCTGTTGATATATTTCATATCGATGAGTACAAGTGTCAAAATCATTTCTCTAATCACAACAAATATCTGCTACAATTATAATCTATTGTACGATTTACCCTTCAACATAAGCATGTGTTAATTGTGTACTTTAACTTATAAGTTGGTTATTATTCAAGGTGTTCCTGAAAAGGCGATTGCATTCTGTATATTACGTACAGTCATGATAACAATATTATCAGGGTCCCAATCCACAAAGCGTCCGTAACGTTACCTGTCGTAACTCTATAGTATATCATATATAGGCTTACGAATGTCGTAGCGCTACGGACGTTTTGTGGGAACGGTAAATGCACAAAACTGGCTATTGTACATGTAGTCAGACATCCCAACTGAAAGCACTAACTTGAACAGCTTGAACTGGGTGCCCGATTTTCGTCATCAACACAGATGCATTTGTCGATGCTATGTCGAGACATTACAACTGACACCTACGGTGGAATGGGTAGCTATGTCCAGCTTCGTGCCATTATGATTCTTACCGAAGCTATAACAGAACGGAGGCGCAATACATTGTATAACAGAGTAATATGGAAATCATGATCAAGAGGGATACCTGAAATGAGTTGTAGCCCATTTCTATGTACAGATAAAACACGTTGTAATCCTCCTGTGTGAACTCAGCAGGAAAGGCGACGATGAGTATAACGTACATCAAGCCGAACAACGGGATGAGGACCAGGATGAACTTAGCCAGCTTCCTGCAACATAAACAAACACGTTTCACAATGTACATAATTCATAATTCATTCAGTCGTCCTCTTTTTGGGGGTTTGGTTTGGTTAGCCTAGTGGATAAAGCGTTCCCTCGTCACATCGAACTGTACACACTTTGTGTGTTTGACATACTTGTTGGAATTTGTCAGCAAAGAATAGATTATTTAATATTTTCTGTAATAACTAAAATATATCAGTTCATTTGGTACTGATGTGCACTAGCAGTATAAAACGCCCTCTATTGAAAGTATTAGTGGAATAACTGTTAACACATAAAAAAGCCAAGATTATCAGTCAGTGAATTAGTTTTTAGCAATATTCCATCAATATCACGGCGGGGGACACCAGAAATGGGCTTCACACATTGTACACATGTGGGGAATCACACCGAAGACTCGAGTTTGTTTCCCCACACGCGGCGGGTACAATGTGTACCTCGCCGTGATATTGCTGGAATATTTCTAAAAGCAGCTTGAAAACATATTCCCGTTATCTGGAAATAATTACTTCAAATGTTCAACAAAACAAACACGAAGAAAACAATACCATTTGAATCAAAATTGTAGTTCAAATGGTGTTGGGCTTGATTTATAGTTTGCAAATTGTGCTTAAAAGACATTATAGATAATCATGTTCAATTTCACATTTAAAAATATTCACCCAGTTTAAAGACTAGAGGACGCTGACATTACATGTGCCCGATGACATTTTCCCCCCAAGACTCGTCAACGGCTGTACATGCGTGAACTCAGTTAAATAACGCACGCTCCAAGTATATTATGCAGATTACAAGCAATTCATGTGTCAATGTTTTAGATGCGGAAATGTATGGTTTAGAATGTGAAAATGCCCAATTAAGTACCTCTGTCAGGTCAGATATATTTACTTATTCAAAGGAGGGTTTTTTGTTACGTCGTTCTTGTGAGTGAGTGAGTTTCAGTTTTACGCCGCACTCAGCAATATTCCAGCTATATGGCGGCGGTCTGTAAATAATCCAGTCTGGACCAGACAATTCAGTGATCAACAGCATGAGCATCGAACTACGCAACTGGGATAAAATGACATGTGTCAACCAGGCCCCGATTTCTCGAAACAAACTTAAGTTTTACTCAAATTTCAAACTGAGTTTGACATTTTGAAACAGCTGAATTTTTAACTCAGCTGCATTTTTAAAATAAAAAAGCCCAAACAACATAAGTATTCTATTCGCCAAACTCCAATTGTCTACTATGTTTGAGTTTAATATCGATTTCAGTTCAACAATGGGAAATGCGTTTTCTCAAATTTGAGTAATAATTTGAACTTAAGTCAAAACTCAGACTTAAGTTTGTTTCGAGAAATCGGGGCCAGGTCAGAGGGCCTGACCACCCGATCCTGTTACACCCCAATTAAGCATGGGTGGCTGAAGACCAGCAGTTACTTTAATCCGGATCTTCACGGGTCGTTCGTGTGATGTAAAGACATATGTTCCGTCGAGCAATTATATACTTTGCCCTGTCATACAGTACATGCATATACTGTACGGGATGTCATGCAAGGGTCCATGGTAATACCTACTTGTACTTGGTTTTTCCTAAATGCCGCTGGTTCGCCCTCACTCGTAGGAACAATATACGGAATATGTCCAGGAAGAAGAAAAAGTTAATCTGCAAGGACACAAATGAGTCTCATTACAACACGATCGTGTGATAAACCTTAGGTTTAAATATAAAACGTCAGTGCGAAATCTGCACAGTCTATCCTCAGAAACACGTTCCTTTTGGTGAAAAGGGAAAAGATATGTGAAATTTATATGGATGGGTTATTGAAAATATGTGACGACAGCCAAAGGCCCGGGTTCGATTCCTCACACGGGTACAATGTGTGTAGCCCATTTCTTGATACTGTTGCAATATTTCTTAAAGCGGCGTAAAACTAAACTCACCCACTCACTCACTATCACACAATATCCCACAGGAGTACCAGGCAAGCAATTGATCGAGTTTGATAATTTTGAACAGCGATTGCTGTGTAGAAGAGCCAATATTTCGATATTTATAAGCGCAGAAAAAAGTGTTTCTTAATAAAAAAGACTAGACAAAAGGAGCAAAATGACAGAACAGAGTGACCAAGTTGTTTCAGAGTTATGTCCCCTAGATTGGTCATCTTGGGCGTTTCACGTCTCGACACACACTTTCTGTTCTCGTTCACTCACGCACGCACGCACGCACGCGCGTCAATATGAAAGAATCTAGAAGCATGTCTAGTGAACAATAGCCATATGAAAAATACCGCGTGATCCTTAAAATTGTTTGTGGTACATGACAGTGTACTCTTATACGTTGTTCAATCTGCCATGTCACTTGTACGAAAGCAGTAGTAAAGAAACGGTGGGTCCTAACCATACTATTTCATCAGAAACGACAGAAACATAAATACATGTAAACATATAAACATGTGTCATGATTACATAGATGACCTGCAAATTATGAACCATAGAACTGTTTCAACTTACTAACACCACCGCTATTCCTGGACCCTTCAGTATCCACAGAAACTCTGGCCGTGCCTGTATGTTCCAGCAGCTGGAGAAGTAGAACAAGCCTGGATCAGGATACACATAACGTCATCATGTCCAGAACACAGCCTTACATCTCACAGAGACATGTGGTAGATACTGCTGATTAAATACCTCTACACAGACAGCACATTATAATGAAACAGTACTACACGATAACTTTCAAACAACATTGTAACGTAGTTGTTATTGAATGATAATTAAATCCATATATTTTCATCACCTAGTTCCCCTTCGAAATCAATGAATGTGTGCATAATTTGTCGTTGGAGGTGACAAATCAAAGGGCTGATATGATTCCTGGTTTGATCATTTGCGTGTTGCCGGTTCCTTGGTGTATCTGATATCTACTTGATATCTTCACAGCCACCGGTATGAAGATGGGATGTTGGTGAGTGAGTGAATTCAGTTTTACGCCGCGCTCAGCAATATTCCAGCTATATGGCGGCGGTCTGTAAATAATCCAGTCTGGACCAGACAATCCAGTGATCGACAGCATGAGCATCGATCTATGCAATTGGGAACCGATGACATGTGTCAACAAAGTTAGCGAGCCTGACCACCCGATCCCGTTAGTCGCCTCTTACAACAAGCATGGGTTACTGAAGATCAATTCTAACCAGGAACTTCACGGTTAGAACGTACTTATAGACACCTGCATATCCATTTAACTGTTCCAATGAAATCGATATACACTTTAAACAAATACAACAATGTGTGTTGGAAGAACAGTATTTCCAAGATAGAATGGTCACCAGACACAAGTCTCTATCCGGTATCAAAGTGTCATCTGTATATATACGCATTATCTGACTTAGTGTTAATTTTGTAACATTTGTTAAGTGTAGTCCCAGACTTGGAATACGTCCGTTAATACTTACAATGTATTTTCTAGCAATGCTTTGACGACAATCCAGGGTATTAAGAACACCAGAGGTAAAACTGAAATGAGACACAGACCGTTAATCCCTTTGTGCTGCAAGTGAGATATGGGATCTGGCATGTGTGATGTGATATTTCTAGGGATCAGACAAACAAATCTACTGCATACGTACGTATTTACGCAAGAGAAGGTCTGTCTAATATGACCGTACTGAAACATCGCACTTTCTCCTTATTGTCGTACTATTCATCGTCACTGATTTAAGCGAGTTAGTAGTAAGCCTGTAATTAATGTCTAATGCGTCACAATGAGTAAGTGAGTTGAGCTCAGTTTAATGCATCTTTAGACAGTGCAGTTAGAGTGTCTTGAAGTGGAGGGAAGCCCGAACTGATTTAGATCTTATCTTGGTAAAACCCATTTGTATGATTTTGGGGGGCGGTGGGGTAGCCTAATGGTTAAAGCGTTGGCTCGTCACGCCGAAGACCCGGGTTCGAATCCCCACATGGGACAGGGTACAATATGTGAAGCCCATTTCTGGTGTCCCCCCGCCGTGATGTTGCTGGAATATTGCTGAAAGCGGCGTAAAACCAAACTCAGTCAGTATGATTTTGGTGTTGACAAAACTAGAGGCAGGTAAGTGGTTCCCTATTTTTGTTCCCACGGTAAGCTCTGTAAATAGGTGATGGCCCATACATTTGGTGCAGGCCCTTAGATACTATTTCCAGTACCTATCAACATTGTTATGCGATAGTGCAAAATTGCAAGGTTGAGTCATGTTTTCACGTCAATAGTATTCTTCTTTTGGCCCGATAGCAATTGCAACAAATTCATCTGGTTACATTATTCGCTGCGAGAGCAATTTTAATTTCCCCCAAAACACTGCATTGGGACTGCCATTATCTTTCCACATCATGAAAACCAATCGTAGCCAACGAGAAATCGGCCACCGCCTGTCTACAGGTAAGTCAGGAGCTCAGGTAAAAAACATAAATAGGGAAACCGCGTTTCGAACAGACGATGACAAGTTTCCAAGATTGAACTACAGAATAAACTAACAGGCCAGTAATTCAAGCGGGCCTACCACTGTGCAGGGAACATGACGCACACATGATATACAGTGGAAGTGTAACGTACCCCAGCCCAGCACTATATAGTACGACACGCCGTTCCGCTCTGTAGACAACGTCCTGTATATGAGCATGTGGAGATACAGGCCTTCTATGAAGATCCATATGATACTGGCGGTGATGGTGTAGTTGAAGAGACAGAACAACAGCTTACACTGCCAGTGCTGTGGGAGAGAAACAATGGAGTTCCGCATTTTTGGTAACCGAAAACTAACGGATTTGCGTCTAATTTAGAAACAGTAACAAGGGTGTATTGAAGGAACGTTGAACATAACGAGGAACGAGAAACCAGATTATCAATTTCATTATTCTAAAAACATAATTATTATATATCAGATAGTTAAGTATCAATTAAAAAATATTCAGGACATTCCTCTGAAAGTCGCCATGTTGTTGAGCCTTGGAACCCCATGAGAATCAGATTTGTTTTTCTGACTGATTGTTGTTTAACGTCGCTCTCAGTAATTTTCAAACTATAAGCATGGTTATATCCAGGTTAGAATTATTGGTCTTCAACAACCCAGTAGTAGTGACGACTAACGGGATCAGGTGGTCAGGCTCATGTCATCGTATCATCGTGGGGACGTCAGACATCGGGTTGTGTTTGTTTCCAGAATCGATTATTTACAGACCGTCTCCATACAGATCGAATACTGCTGAGTGTGGAATTTAACAACATGCAAACAAACAACATCCATCAATTCCCCAGTAACACAGAATCGGTAGGGATGCTGGAAGGGCAAGTACTTACTGAGCCTTCCAGGAACTCGTACGTCCCGTCTGACTTGAGTCTGACATCCATGTCCAGACCAACTCCTTTAAACAACAGATCCTTGAGGAAGGAGACGGATGCCCTCAGGATGAAGGCAATGAAGAGGTTGATGTGAAGAATGTTGCTTTTACTTTTTAATCGCCTGAAAAAACAACAAATATATATTAAGTAGAGCCTACATCCAGAGGTATTACTGTCTGTAATACAAGTAGAACATTGCCGATGTGCAAATACATTTTGATATGGAAATAATATCATAGTTTGATATTGCAAGGGAAAGGTAAAGGGTGATATGTTGATATTTCTGAACAGTATATTCACATACTGTTAAATGATAACGCTTTGAGTTGCACAGACAGAATGGTACAAAAGTGAGTTATGCTTTCTTAGATGATTCTTTAAAAGGGATGTAAATTTGAAGGGACCGACCTGCAGCATAGCATGATGATGACGGCGACGACGAGAGCAGACAGAGACACACTATATCCCACTGTGTACAACAGTCGCAGCTTGTTGGCTATGTCCTGAAATAAGGGAATCATACAGACATGTTTACAGTGGAGGAAGTGTTACATTAAAGACAGAGTCTTTTATGTGGGTATTTCATTGTTGTTAACGTGGTAGGTATGTGTGCATATTTGTAAAGCTTCAGGTGCATCGTTTGGCGGTTATATAGCGTGAAGGGGTAATTGCATCACCACCAGGTGTCGCCAGTGCAAGGATTGAGAGCTGCGATGACTGCATCAGATATTGTCAGAAAGACAATACGCTGCATCAACGTGTTCACCTATTCCTGACAGCAATGTGCTCCAGCAGCCTAATGGTTGTCAGCTTTGTGTCGGTAAGATCAAGGGGCAGGTAACTCAATGTTTGTTGGGAAACGTACACACGTACGGCATGATATCGGAGGTCAATGGGGGGCTTCTCGCAGGCACTGAAGTTGGTCCAGGAATAGTTGTTGGCGGGGTTGATCCACCAAGACCCGTTCGCATCACAGTACCGTCTCGCAAACTCTGAAATAATAAGAAAGTAGCCTATATAATGTGCTCATGCCTACATGTATATTTGCTGCCCTTGTTTGTGTCGCAGTTGTTACAATTGTATGACGTTGTATTTGTTTGTTGTTGAATGCCACATTCAGCTGACATTTCATAACTATGTGGGGCGGTGGGGTAGCCTAATGGTTAAAGCGTCGGCTCGTCACGCTGAAGACCCGGGTTCACATCCCAACATGGGGCCAATGTGTGAAGCCCATTTTTGGTGTCCCCCGCCATGATATTACTGGAATATTGCTAAAAGCGGCGTAAAATCCACCTCACTCACTCACTCATAACTATGTGACGGCCGTCTGTAAATAATCGAGTATGGGACAGACAATCCAGTGATTTAAATCATGACTATAGATCTACTGTGACAAAATTACACATATATCTACATCAATAGCCTGCCGAGAGTGTATACTTGTCAAAGCGAACACGCATTGCAACTTCCGTAAAATAATATTTAATTTTCTTAAAAAATATATAACACAACAGTGACTCTCTTGATTCGTAGCTTTACCAAGTTTTTCTTGAAACGTCATCCATCTTATTTAGATTTCTTAAGGTTCCGACATGATTAATTACAGTTACAGTTTGTGATGACAACGTCGCCGTGGTCGACCACCTGAATGCGGCACAACTGTATCAGAACGAAATGTCTCTTGTAAGCACCTGCAGACCACATTGTTCAATAGGGAACCATTAACACGACAATACAGCACAACACTACATCTCCTGACTGATATAATGTGTAAGTTTTCACACAACACATTTACTTTATGGCACATGTCACTGTGTTTATCGTGACGAACGTGTCAGTGATGAGACAAACGTGTCAGACTGATCTACCAATATCTGCTGGTGTCAGAATATATAGACACGAGGAACGCCGAACGAGTCGCACTGACATGGGGTCCATGTCGCTTTTGATCCAGAACTGAAAAGACGGTTGGTTGGGTTGTTGTTTAAAGCCGCACTCAGCAATATTCCAGCTATATGGCAGCGGTCTGTAAATAGTCGAGTATTGTGATTAGTCTGTCTCACAGTCCCTGAACCATATTCTTTCCCCACTGCCTAGTCCTCCCTGCAATGCTATAGCCCTAAATGAAGCAAGTCTCCCTAGGGTTCTTTTTCAAATTAAATGGGTTTATTTGTCACATACGTTATATTAGGGATTACACTTTCTTAGCAAAGTACAGATCCTACTACTTTTGTTGGGTTGAACCCCATCCGGGATTCGAACCCACACCCTCTTTACTTTACTAAGAAGGTGTAATCCTAAATATAACATATGCTACATTTGATCACTGGCATTGTGTATTCATGGGTATATTTGTTAGAATCGAAATTATATTTATTCTGAGGTGAGGTGAGGTGAGGTGAGGGGAGGTGAGGAGGTGAGGTGAGGTGAGGTGAGGTGAAATTGGGTTTTACGTCGTACTTGAGAATATTTCGCCGATATGACGACGTGCATGCGTGGGTATGTGTAGGTGCGGCTGCTTGTACTAGCCCAGACTTAAGCTGGTTTTATAGTGCTAGCCCACTGAGATACCATGCCGCAGTGAAGCATGAATACCCCACTCAGACACATTATACTGACTCCGAGCCGACCAGTCCCTGTTGTACCCATTAATGCCGAGCGCCAGACAGACACCAAGTGCCATATTTTAACGTCTTTTGGTATGACGCGACCGGGGATCGAACCCGCGACCTTCCGCTCTCCGGGCGGACGCTCTAACCACTACACCACGGAGGCGGTCTTATATTTATTCTGAGACTAAGCGTTCGTAGCCCTAAGAATTCTTAACTTTGATGGTAGCCAGTGTGTTAAGAATGGGCTTAAGACGTTCGTAGGGCTACGAACGTTTCGAGAATAGCTAGCCTGACCACCGGATCCCGTTACTCACCATCTAAGTAATGTGAATAGGAGGATAATAGCATCTACATGGGACTCGTGTATTTATCTATATATGTCACTTTGGGTTCAACCTTCAGTAACATTTGGTGTCGATTAGCTTTCCATTTGTTTGTTTTCTCCGAATAATTCAATGCCAAGGCAAGACAAATATTTTTCTACGAGATCTTATGTTTGGGTGATGATCTTGGTTTCCTGTATTTCTGACACAATGACAAGTTTAGGAATGTTCTTTATACAGATGGAAATATACTCAGTGTTTTGTTTATCAATCAATCCCAACACTGACGTCAACTCCCAACTGATCTATTTTCTTATATCACACACCTGCTGTGGTTTATATGATTTACTCAATGGCTACTTCAGAAACAAAGAAAAACGGTTGTTCGTGGTGCCAGAACTCTAAGAGGTGGAGATGGTTTCCACTTTCAACAAAACACCTTCACAAGGGCTCTTATTCCAATTTTCGTTTATTTATTCGGTGTAATGAAGTTGATGTTACCCTATTTATGTGTGTGCTCTATATAGCCCAATGTTTTCTCCGTGGTTCGTAAAAACAGAAGAGAGCAAGGATGTTTGCTTTGAGAAACAAAAATACTTTTTATACCAAATATTCTCTGTGGATGAAGAGATGGACACAGTATGTGCCTTTGGTCTTTTGAGCGAACACGTTCAAGTTCTTCAATTAAGTGAAGTCCGATCCTTTACATATCGTATGTACTTTAAAAGAAAACAGTGTAAAAAGTGTTGGAACAGGCCTACATGTAGGTGCGCACATTGGAGTGCAAGATTTCTATACCTGTCTTCAACGAAAAGAGGACGATCGAGATTGGCTGCTGAGGGAATTATGTTTGAAGTTTTGCTTTTTTTAGATTTGATGTAAGCTTATGATTACATGTATATTGATTAACAGTGATATTTGAAAATGTGAATCAGTCAAACTTATGTATTACAGGCACGTGCTGTGTATTCGAACAAGATGGAGAAATTAGCAATGCTCTGTGTTTGCATATTCCCTCCGTTCTGAGCTAACAACTGGGGAGATGTATTAGCCCAGGCCAGGAATGTGGCGAGACTGAACTGGCGTCAAATCTGTCTAATGACAACACGTACATGTCGTGACATGTCATTAGCTGATTCAACCTATTCACCGATCGTTTCAATCATACGAATTTCAGACTCCCTCGTGCATAAATATATTGACCAGAATAAGCAGAAGTTGGAATAGAAACTATTAGCATCCTCCATCTTCATATCTTCCGGCAGATATAGCAATGCTGGGACCAGCAGCATATGACCATTTGGTTGTCCAGTAAATTTTCATAAACATGCATGGTCCCAGACCTGTCGTCCCCAATGTAGAACTAACCCATCCCATATAGAGCAAGGAGAGTATTGCAGGAACCTATATATCAATATTTAGGCATATATTTAAAAGGGAATATTTTATGACGGGAAGACAAAATTCATGATATATGGTGGATACATACCGCTGGCTTTCAATCGCTAACCGTATGAAAGAGTGAGTGAGTGTGAGACAAGGTGTGTGTGTGTGTGTGTGTGTGTGTGTGTGTGTGTGTGTGTGTGTGTGTGCGTGTGGTTTGATAGATTTCTGTAAGCATTGAATGAGTTCCACATGGGCCTTGACGTTGCCCATTCAGTATATGACTGGATACAGTCGTCACCAAGGGCACTCATGTGCGACCTTCGTACTCTTCGTCTTAACGAGTACACTGGAAAACAATTTATAGTAATGTCCTTTTCTATCAAACACCAATGGACAATTGAGGGACACACTAGCTTCACACACTACGATTCCAAGTTCAATATATATTTTATCAAACTGAAATCATAGAAACATCGATTTCTAACTTTTCAGGAACTAACAGTTCAAAGTTGTTTCCTCTAAAGTATAAAGTGATAGTGTTTTTATGGTAGACGTGAAAAGGTCGAAGACATTTATCACTTTGTGAGATAGGGCTTCAGTTCTGTTTGACACGAACAACGAGTGTTGGATGCCGTTGTCTCTTTGGCAATGACAGAGATCAATGGCGATCACAAGATAGCAGATCAAAAGGCTACACAGGTCATAATCATTCTGAGGGAATGGCACTCTTCACAGCACTTCGAAATGATAATAACCAATGTTACAATGTCGTCATTAGAATATTCGAATTCTTGAAACATAAAACATCGAACTAAAATATGCCTACAAAAACAGTGATGGATTTGCAGACAAAATGAAAAAGTGAAACAGCTTCTGAGGAAATGCATCGGCTTGGAGCTCTAATCAATTCCACCGTTTGCAGCCAAAGAACCCCTTTGGAAAAACATTCTCCCCACCTCTTGTAAAAGGTCACTAGATGGAGCACTGACATTTACCACAACGATAATGAGTCCTAGTACTGGGTTGTTGCCGTGTTGTCTGTACGGTCAAAGCAGTTGGTGTTTTGACATTGTCACGGCCTGGGGTACATGGTTCTTACGCAAACAAATGCCGATATACTCAAATATACCCCTTTTATGAGGAAAGATATAATTTAAAGAACCTACCAGTGCTTAATGATGTAACTCTAATGAACTGGAAATAGAGATTTAACGTTCCCTGTAACTTCATTGCACTTCAGTGGCAGCTTAATGTAGGAGGGAAGCCTGTGTATTCTGCAAAACCAGTGGGAATACCTAGAATACTCATCAGGGTATGACTCCTTCTACTGTCGCGGGCATTCTACAGGTCATTGTTCCGGAAGAAACATCTTCCCATCTATCGTACATTGACCACCCTACATTGTACATATTCGATGCCGTTCATATGGACGGTTTTTTCCTTGCAGCATCCTCTTGTCGAACTGTTGAGTACATTAATATATCAGTTTACACTGCAGGAAGAGGAGATTTATGACTCAACAGATGGATGGAAGCGGTTGTTGACGATCCTTCATTGCACCACTACCACTGTGTAATAGATTCACGTTAACACGCTCAGAGTAGTGGCAGGTTTCATTCTTCACTTTCTCCTTGTTTTTCAAAGAAGTATGTAAACGTACATCCACTTAAAACGGCACATGTGTTAACACGTGCTTTGCTTCATATTCGTTAAGTGACAGATTTGCACTGTTAATACAGAGCCAGGGTAAACACATGGAATTACTGAGGAAGGAAGCAAGCCTGTATGAGGCAACATAGGGTTCGGAGAAAACTGAACCTGGGATTCTGAAAACTTAGATACATAATTCTGATATTGATATGCATTGACCGATAACGGTACAAATAACGAAGCCTATAATCGTGGGTTCGAATCCTTGCTTCGCCATTATAATGTTCTACTAATTTACACATGGTCCTTTGTTTCGCCACAGAGCTGAACATCTGAGATCTCATACATCAATGGGTTACTTGTGTCCTCCACAGCCCACATAGACTAAGGCTTAGTCCCTGATTCCTGAATATGTATAATTTTGATAGTAACAAATAAACCCATTTAAATTGAAAAGGAGCCCCTGTGAGTTGCGAGATTCGGACCTGGGGAAATCTAGACTTGCTTCATTTAGGGCTTTAACTTGGTTCAGGGACTGTGAGACAGACTACAGACCACAGTGCTGCCCAGCGTCTGTCCACTTCATTAATTACAGCCTCCCGGGACATCTCCTGGACTGTGGTGTTGCCGACAACCGTGCTGGGCTTTGTTGACTGATGAAGGCAGGGATAACAGTATAAGGATGAAGTGAAACCAAGCACCTCGTCCTTCGCTCAGATAGCGGCAAAGCCCGTGTTTGGGTATTTCATTGTTAACGTTCCTTGTTGCACGTCAAATGAAAATAGACATAAGCGTGTGGGTTTATCGACACAATAAACACAATTCACATGCGGATATTGTTTTTAAGAACGTCACGTACTTTCAAGCAAGGCAAATACCTTTTTCATGTTCACAGGATGTTTTATGTTTTATGGTTTAATTTTTTAACTGTTTTGGTTTATGTTTCATGTTGTACAGTTTTATGTTGTATGTGTCATGGTTTTATATTATGTGATGATTAACATATCCCAAAAAGAGATGCTATTCGATATGCGCTATAAAGTTCTACCAAGGTGCATTCAAGGTCATTCACTTTGTTTGAAGGCAGAAAAATTCTGTTTCCGTTAGATCCTCGGTGCCATCATCATTATACTGAACACATGAAGCTATAGCACATTGAAAGTTTCTTTTACAAACTTAGTCATTAACGACTAATATCCAAAATAACGCTTGTAGCTGGCATACATAATTAGTTCTGTTACTGTTCTAACAGTAACAGGCTACGAACTAAAACTGAACAGGCTTCGAGTGATTCATTCATCCATGTAACAGTAATGGCCTTCTTTCATAATTAGTGTCGACTTTGAGTCGTTATTTCAAATTAGCCAACTGAAAGTTTAGTTTTTCATACATGTACAGGAAAACAAATTGGCTAGATGACGCCTCATAATCGAAGATCCAAAAGATCTAAAGGTCATTGATACTATTAATCTATAGTTTATCAGATTACAGGATTGATGTTTTTTGTTGGCCTACCGAGGGAAGTAGTAAGGGGAGGTCCCCGCTGGTAGTTCCTTCCACTTATCGTGAATAGCATAAGATGTAGATTGGCAAATCTGAGTCTAACCATCACGCTACGTGTCACAGAAATGAATTAAGTCTATTCGTAAGCCGTTTTTCATTTATTTCCTTCGGCGCAGCACTTTCATCTTCATTTATTAGTAAATACACGTCATCAGTTTACATGAAGCCTTTGATCCAATTGAATATCAGAACATTAAATACGTAACCTCAAACGTTAGGCCACGTCGCTGAGTTACGTCCCGTAGTCCTGTCAGTTCGTTGGGTGCAGGTTCATTTCCACATTTAACCCGATCTGGATATAATTCTTGGTTTATAAGCCGCCTTCATGGTGGAGTGGACACAGCGGCTGATCTTAGAGGGGATCCTTGGGGTTCGATCCCCGACCGCCTCATCCCAAGACGTGGCGTTTTGCACTTGGGGATAAAACAAGGACTGGTCGGCTAGAGCGAGGTACTCTGTGGTGTGTATTCATATTGACTTCTGAGTGCACTATTATGCTGGCATTATTCCGAACAATTGCAAACAACCAGTTATCATGTATCGTCTCAGTTAACAGTCTGCGCCCGGTATAACGTGCCAGTCGTAGATGTTGTACATTCCAAGCGTTTGTTTATCCTACAGCAACATTTTCGTGCAGATAATCGAAACTGATTATTCTCTGAAGTTGATGTTTTTCACGTTCATATCTTCAAAGCGAAATAAACTAAGGGAGCGTATTTTCACATCCTTGTATCGGTTATGGCCGCCTCCGTGGTGTAGTGGTTAGAGTGTCCGCCCGGTGAGCGGAAGGTTGCGGGTTCGATCCCCGGCCGCGTCATACCAAAAGACGTTAAAATATGGTACTTGTTGTTCCCTGTCTGGCGCTCGGCATTAATGGGTACAACAGGGACTGGTCGGCTCGGAGTCAGTGTAATGTGTCTGAGTGAGGTATTCATGCTTAACTGCGGCATGGTATCTCAGTGAGCCAGCACTATAATACCAGCTTAAATCTGGGCTAGTACAAGCAGCCACACATACACATGCATGCATGTCGTCATATCAACTAAATATTCTCAAGTACGACGTTAAACCCCATTTCACCTCGCCTGTATCTGTTACACCAATATACTACTATAACAGTACAGTACTAGCCGCAAAAAGGAAATACATATTTCACATCCCTTACCATTTTTGTTGAAACCATTGACATAATCCGGGCAGTGCTGTTGGGCCATAGTTCCCGGGGGTGTCTCATCCCAGCACAGTAAGTCGTCCCAGGCCACCACACAGGGGGTAGGGCCGTCCGCGGGGTCTGCAATAACAAACACCACTGGTCAGTGAGGGAGGTCATGCAATATGGTTTAAACAGCAAAATATGTTAAAGGTGAATTTGCCGCTTATAGATAAAAGAAATCGTGAACAACATTACGGAATTGTTGTCTGCTCGGTCATTGCGTTGTTGCCCGCAGCCTACATGTACACAACCTCTCAGCGCTGCAATACGCTTCACGCACAAATGTCAACTTATCATTCAGAGGCGAATATAGTCGTCATAAACTTAATTCACGCACAATGCGTGAAAGTGTTATGGGTACAATACGTGAGGTCAATTTCAGGTGTGTCCAGTTAGATTTTGCTGGAATTTTGGTAATAGCTCGCTGTCCGACCGACACTCTCCAGTGCCATGGCTGGCCACTCTACTCTAAGATACTCTCTCCAAACAAAGCTATACGCTGTTATACTTGAAACATTCCACAGATCAGACAGTCAGTGCAACAAGTTCTAGATGCCACCATGGGAAATGTATGTGTCAGATATTTTATAGATACACAACGAAAATCACTTTTAATAATTAGCCTTACAATAACAACACTCTCCATTGTAGAAGTTCCTCTTTAACATCATTGTAGGAATTTGATCTATTGACTGAATAGTTTCTCTGCAACTTCATTGTAGGAGTTTGATCTATTGACTGAAGAGCTCCACGTCACCTTCTTTGAGTTTGAACTGCTGACTGATGAGTTCTACTTCCGCTGATGGTCTGGTTGATCTATCACAGATTAGCATGAGCGGACTGCTTCAGAGGGTCTACATGCTATTATAAACAGCTGTTCATTTTCAGCCTTATCTCTGCGACACCTTCCATTTACTCCTGCCGGGTTTTAAAGGTTATCAACGATATGTTCCTCTTTCAAGTCAGGGGCCTTTTAAAACTTAACCAACATGTCTATATAAAACAGCCTTCACTGCACTAAAACATTAGTGCACTCCGTAAAACATTCACTGCACTAAAAACGGAGGGCATGCCATGACAGCATGATTAATTAAGTTCGGTACCTCAGATAAAGCATACACAGATTGTTGGGAGTGATAAATTATTCCAGTCGAAAACATTCGTCTTATGAAGACATTTCAAACTCCAAAAAGCGTTTCCTGAAGAAATCGGTAGTTACGAGTTATACACCAGACGGCGATGATTACGGTGAAGATAACGTTGATGTATTCCCTGTTGAACGTAACAGTAGACGCCGTTATATCATCATCTGATACTCACGTTACTAAAAGTAGAATCTCTGACATGGAAACGGAACACGGATTTTGATTTTCGTCAAGTCTAGCAGATACGCAAAAAGACTGAGAGATCTAACGGCAGTAACAACTATTGATATGGCGGGGAAGGTTAGGATGTATCTCCGTTAGGAGTGGTTATTCTTTTGCACTGACGTTGAATATTTAGTTGAACTGGGTGCAAATTTCTGGTGGTGAGGGGCGGTGGGGTAGCCTAGTGGTTAAAGCGTTCGCTCTTAGCTTCACGCCGAAGACCCGGGCTCGATTCCCCACATGGGTTAAATGTATGAAGCCCATTTCTGGTGTCCCCCACCGTGATATTGCTGGAATATTGCTAAAAGCGGCACAAAAACCAAACTCACTCACTCACCCTGGTGGTAAACTGAAGTACACGAAATTCATCATCAGCACAGTAGCATTTATCTATTCAGAGTCAACTACTAAAGACATGTTTGGTCCGAGACGTTGATACTGCCTCCCATGAATGTGGTGAAACGGAACATTTTTCTATAATCACGACGATCGGAATTTCTACACAGCAACCATAACTCAAATATATTTTACTGGATTTTCTGGTCATTGCATTACTTCGGGCTGTCCTCCCATATGAAGCTGTCACACCGTGATATAGAAATACTGTTCAGAGTGACGTTAAAACACTCACTCACTCTGTAAATCCAGGGAATTGAGTCGTATATATGGCTGCGTCGGTTTAGATAAGTGCAGCAACATGCGATCAGCAGTATGTATAATGTGATCATGTTACACATGAACAGGTATATTTAGGCACCAACTGCAATAAAATATCATATATGCGCATAAACATCTTTGAATTCTCTAAAGTTCGATCGTTTAATCGTTTAGTCATACTGGAGCTAATTGGGACGGCGATCTTTCATATGGACTCGATTATCAAATATGATTATAATAAATTATGATAGAATGAATTCATGATACCGTGGCTAATCTGATTCCTCCGTGGCGATGGATGGTTGTCCTTTCGTCATGACCAGTACACGTATATAGAAGCGACAAGCTAAAAGCGATTGTACAATTGTGACTGTATCGTGTAATGCATTAAATCAGCAGTTCATCAGTGGCTGTAATTGTGTGTTGTTGTGGTGGTTTTAGAAGGAGTTACAGAACTGGCAAGAGAATCCCTTTTACTCGTTTAACTCCACCTAAAACGTACAATAAAAGTTCTGCATACCCTAAAGACACTTTACGCTGCATAAACAACTTCTAATCAAACCAGCAGATTCTGAGTAATCGTGATCGGTATCAGTGCAGGGGTACCTTTGTGAGGTATTATAACCAGTTTGAGGTGCCATTACTCCCAAACGTGTCGTTAATGTGAGCATTTACAGGCAGGCGCCGATATTTCCAGGGATAGTTTACGATAAAACATACACGTAGAATAGTTACAGTTTAACATGCGTCGGCAAGAAGTCGGAAGCAATATCTTGCCAAAGTATAATAGGATTGGTTTGGGTCTTCTCTTCGCGGCATGTAACTGTGTATGATGAACATTAAGAGCAAACCAGCAATGTTCGTGATGGAGGGAATGAGGTATGAATGGTGGTTCAATATTCATGCTTCAGCCATAAATGACAATTTTGTCAAGAATGGATTGTTCACATAACATCAAAAGGCACGCTCAGTCAGCACTTCAAACGGCTTTGAAAGATTTCACAAATACCTATTTCGTCACCATTAATTAGTTTTAGGATATATAACCACAAATTCCAAAATAAAACGAGCCCCTGAGATTACACAATCATGCATACAGTGAACTTAGCCCAGCGTTCGTTTCAAACTGTATTGATCTGGGGTTGTAACTTCATAACACAATATAACGGTCTCAATTTCTATACTCTAGAGAGTTATATCAAAACTTGAAACACGAATAAGCTTAAAAATCAATCACGATTATCCAGTATAGGTTTTAAAGAATGTATATATCCATGATTTTTCACTTGTGTACCGTACCACTGCGGGTGGTTATACAGTACAACCAGAAATAATTGAGAATTTAAGATTGTATTTTTTTCCCACTCATTACTCACATTTTAAAAGTGAATATTAACAGAACATAACTCCAGATTCAAAGACAGGTGAACAGTTAGTATTTTGTCAAGTCACCATGGGCAGCAATGCAGGCTTCAATGTGGCGGGGCATACTACTGATCAAAGAAGTTACAAAGTCGTGGTCCACGCTGTCCCAATATCGGACCACCTCTTCTTTCATTTCAGCAATATTTGTCAGATTTTTCTTATTGACACTTTCCTTCATAAGTCCCCAAACATTTTCTATTGGATTTAGGTCAGGGCTATAGCTTTGCCAATATAATAATGTCATATTTTGGGTCCGAAACCAGGCCTGTGAATGCTTTGAACGATGTTTTGGGTCGTTGTCCTGCTGGAAAATCCAAAATTTCCATAGAACACGTGAGCAGATGGAAGTAAATGTCCCTCAAGAATGTCTGTGTACCGCTCACTGTTCATATTCCCTTCAAATACACAGAGGGGCGTTGCCCCTAACACATATATGCCACCCCACACGTTAAATTTCGGACTGTACTTTGGGCGCTGATACAAAGGTTTTTCAGTTTGTTTGGTCCAGAATTTCAGTGTATCAGGAAACAGCCACACAGAACTTTCATCTGAGAATATCACATTGTCCCAGTTAAAATTTCTATGCTGTAAGCACCAGTTCAACCTTCGCTCCTTTTGTTCAGATTTCATGATCGGTGATGGAATTCCTCGACTTTTCTGCCAACCCATTGCATGCAGATCAGTTCAAATTGTCTCCTTTCAGACAGCCACAGTTCCTCTATCAATCATATCCAGCCTTAAGTTTTCTAAACTCCTTCCTTTGTTTTCAGAAACAAGAATACCAAGCGCCTCCTGTCACCGCCAGTCAATTTTCTGGGCCTACCTGCGCCTCCCTGGTGCTCATTGTCCATATCCATTTGCAATATTTTTCAAAACACGATAAACAGTGGACAAAGGGAAGCCTGTTCTACTTGAAATCACTTTAGCTGATCTGATGTCCTTGTTATAATACTCTAAAATCAACTTCCATTTCTCTAGATCATCCATACTGAGGATCACTGAAAATGTCGTCTGCTAGCAAGTAAACAAAGGGGGGATAACTCTTCACAAACTAATGAAAATGGATTAACGGAGTTGTCTCTCTTGAATGAAAACAAGCACTTGACAGCTGGTCAAGGTTGTTTATACTAGAAATCCAATTAAACATATTCCTAATTTTTCCAATAATTTCTGGTCATACTATAAGGGAAGATTTTAATAAACAGTTGTATGGAGACGATTAGCGTGATTTTAAGGAAACTATGGGAGGAAAACCCATGTTGATGCAAGTAACCGACGTTTACAACACCAGTAAATACAATGATACGATGCTAACAACATAACCAAGTGAACTGGGATTCGAACCCACAATCGGACGCTCGCCTGCCTAAGCCAAGGTTAAGTAATGACGTTTCCACAGAACACACTCATTCATGCAGTGGTAGATCAGGGGCGTAGCTTCCATATGATAAAAACCCGGGCTTACACATGATTGTTGCTAAAAAGGGTTGGCAAGCCCTCAAAAGCTTAGCAACCTATCGGGCTTGCTACGCGCCTGGTCTAACATAAATGAATAATGTTGCAGAACAACATCGTCTACTACAACTACTACTAGTGCCATTGCTGCTACTGCTGCTGTGGCTACTACTACTACTGCTACTACAATTGCTGCTGCTACTTCTACAACTACTACTGGTGCTGCTGCGACTACTACTACTACTACCACTACTACTGCGACTACAACTGCTACTGTACCTTCTCCTACTACTACACTCCTACAACTACTGTTGTATAGTGGTGTATGTCCAGCTTACAACAGTATTTACATTTACATAACACCATGCCCACACAAAGTATGCCTGTTGCACTTACAGTCCAATTGCACATGACAGACACCCAGGAAGTTGGTAAAAAGTGACAACGGTAACAGCCTTTCACTCAAAACTGTCGTTTGCAATAAATCACATGTTCTGTAAAAATGTTCTCAGGTGAGATCGAACAGATGTTCTCATGATGGTGATTTGTTTTTTCTGACAAAATTTTCTTTCCTTCACGACACGATTGGAATCCGCATGTTGTTGTAACTCATTTAACACAAGAAGTATGCCATCTCCAACATGGATGGATGGTTCTGCCAAACTGCCACATCCTTGACTCTGATACACTGACATGCACAGATTACTCTCTCTGACAGACCCACATATTCACGTTTATCTAATGCGTAACTGTTTGAGTGAACTATGTCCAAGTTAATTCAACACCCCATAGTCAGAAAGTAATCAGTTTATCTCAGTGGGCGTGAGATGTAAAACTGTGATGAAACATTGATGATGAATCATTGTTAAGTCAGTGACGAAAGCAGGTTCTCTGGTAAAGGGGAAGCATGCCCTGCCTAACGAAACATTCACGGCCGTATAGAGGCTATGCCCTAATGTTCAGCAGTGAGCCCCTCTGACTTGTGAGTGAGTGAGTGAGTGAGTAAGTGAGTGACTTTCGTTTTACGCCGCATTCAGCAATATTCCAGCTATATGGCGGTGGCCTGTAAAAAATCGAGTCTGGACCAGACAACCAGCGATCAATATTATGAGCATCGATCTACGCATTTGAACAGATGACATGTGTCAACCAAATCAGCGAGCCTGACCACCCAATCCCATTAGTAGCCTCTTACGGCAAACATTGGTTACTGAAGATCAATTCTTACCCGGACCTTCACGGGTACTCTGATTTGTAGAGGACGTTAAAACTATTAACTGAATTTCTGTGTGACGCAATTTGATTGGTTAAAAAGGCTGTTAAATTGGATACGATATCGGATATAGCCTTGGCCTTACCATAGGTAAGAACTAAGTACATAATACGAAGAAAAAAACAATGGGTCTATTGGAGGCATGTATATGGAATTACTGTGTGAAAAACGCAGTCTATAAGTGTATAAGTTTCCTGTTCCTGCCACTCTTCATTAGTATTGTTAAAAGCTGCTATTTCATACTTCATACTCATACTTCATACTCATAGGCCTTAATATACACAACGTGTCAGTGCATGCATATCAGTTTTGAGATTGTACATCCGACGAAGGATGTGTGTGCGTGCGTCTGTGGGAATGTGTATGTTTGTGTGTGTATCTATATGTTTATGTGTGTGTGTGCGTCTGTGTGTTCTTTTGTCTGTTTACGTCTGTGTTCGCGTTAGTGCGTCTGTGTGTGTTTCATGTGTGTGCGTCTCTAATTTTGGGTATGTGCGTCTGTGTTTGTGTTGCTGTATGTTTGCGTATGTGCGTCTGGTGTGTGTGTCAATTTAACATGGTTACCCTACGAAGACATACTCTACTTGTATAACTCCATAATACCATAATAACAAAAAGGACCATCTGGTGTGTGTGTCAATTTAACATGGTTACCCTACGAAGACATACTCTACTTGTATAACTCCATAATACCATAATAACAAAAAGGACCATCTGGTGTGTGTGTCAATTTAACATGGTTACCCTACGAAGACATACTCTACTTGTATAACTCCATAATACCATAATAACAAAAAGGACCATCTGGTGTGTGTGTCAATTTAACATGGTTACCCTACGAAGACATACTCTACTTGTATAACTCCATAATACCATAATAACAAAAAGGACCATCTGGTGTGTGTGTCAATTTAACATGGTTACCCTACGAAGACATACTCTACTTGTATAACTCCATAATACCATAATAACAAAAAGGACCATCTGGTGTGTGTGTCAATTTAACATGGTTACCCTACGAAGACATACTCTACTTGTATAACTCCATAATACCATAATAACAAAAGAAGACCATCTGGTGTGTGTGTCAATTTAACATGGTTACCCTACGAAGACATACTCTACTTGTATAACTCCATAATACCATAATAACAAAAAGGACCATCTGGTGTGTGTGTCAATTTAACATGGTTACCCTACGAAGACATACTCTACTTGTATAACTCCATAATACCATAATAACAAAAAGGACCATCTGGTGTGTGTGTGTCAATTTAACATGGTTACCCTACGAAGACATACTCTACTTGTATAACTCCATAATACCATAATAACAAAAAGGACCATCTGGTGTGTGTGTCAATTTAACATGGTTACCCTACGAAGACATACTCTACTTGTATAACTCCATAATACCATAATAACAAAAAGGACCATCTGGTGTGTGTGTCAATTTAACATGGTTACCCTACGAAGACATACTCTACTTGTATAACTCCATAATACCATGCATCTTCCTTGGTAACAAAAAGGACCATTTTTTTCCGTCTTATAATATGCCGCGGCCGGGATCAAACCAACCACCCTCCGCTCTCAGAGAGACACGCTATCCAGTACACCACGATGGTGATTCAGCGTAATGGACGTTGTTGTAGAAATAACATCATTCCCAGCAGGATGTGATATTCACATATTTCATGCAATATTTATTAAAATTGTAAATGAAATAGACGCATTTCCGATAGCGTATTTTTATTCCTAGTAAATAGGTCCAGTTGGAAATCCTAATTAGATCAGTTTGCCTCATCAAATTCAACATGTGCAGTGGCTTGTCACCAAATGACCAGTAATAACATCACACAAATACTGTCTATGACCGGTAGAGAAAGGAACCACCATTCCTTAAATACACTATACCGTTACAGCTGTCTACCCATACACCAATCAATCCCTAGCAGGAAATTATACCACATATTCCCGGGTTGGTATACAAATGCTCAGTTAGGGCTTGTGATGGATGTCACACGGTCATTATGAGGAATACAAACTGAGCATAAATACTGTACAATATCCATGTTCATGGTAGCTATAGTCAGAACTACAGCCCTAATGTGGGATAATATGTGTCGATGCAGATCAATAACCTCCCGTGATGTTTATTGACAGGAAACTAATATGGGGGTCTACCGGTATTGGCGTAACGTTTCTGTGTCGCTTCACCTGTTGGTCAAAGGATACAACCTGCTACAGAGAGGACATTGGTCTGGAACCACCCAATTAGACAGGTCCATGAATAATGATGGTTTGTGGAACACTAATCGCCCTTGTAAGCCGAAACTAGATTAATAACATGTTCTGCTTGTGCGCTGTACTGTCAGGCTGTGGGGAGAAAATGAATCCGTTATGAACCCTTGAGGACGCTGTACAATTGAATCAATCAAGTTATCAAGCTTCCTCTGATTTCCTCCCTGGAAGTGAACATAAAGGTGACCAGTGGAATAATTTCATTTGTTTCATACTTAGGTCACGGTATAAAGATTCAGAGTGACAAAATACTAACCCCCATGACTGAATGAAATGAAGGATGGCTTCAACTTTGAAATCTTTTGCTTAATGTATAGCAATATTCCAAAAGCTAATTTTTATTGTCAACAATTTACAGCTTTCGAGGAAGGTCGAATCAGTCCCTTATTTCAACTTGTATTATATGTCTCTTTCAGGTTAACAACTAAATACTACATGTATGCAACCCACGAAGGTATTCATTTTAAAATCTGCCTTTCAAAGAATCCTGATACACATCAGTTCCAGTTGTGAAACCCAATTCGATATATTTTAATTCAACCTTGCATGCAGGCTACATTAACGTGCCTGTGCATGTATTTGGGACGAGTGTCACCTGTGTGGCTGGATATGTAAACCTTGTCGAGAACATCTGGGATCATCACAAAATGAGGGTGATCATTAATACATGTTCATTTTATAGTCGGAATCATAGAATCTGCCTTGGGGGGTATTTCTATATGATTACGAAAATCTGTTTATCGCTGTTATTACACTCATTATGTATTTGAGTTCAAATTTCACACAAAACCTAGTGTTCTATATCACACCTAGGAATCCTTATTAGTGAGTGAATATTTATGGAGTGTATTCAAAATATCTAGTGATGTAGCGAAGGTGTATTGTACTTATGTATTGGTAAATACTTTCAGTAGGTGTATTGAAAATATGGCGTGGCATTACCATAACCAGGTGTACTGAAACTATGTGCTGACCTTAAGTACTTACAGTGACAAAGGTGTATTGAAACTTTGTATTGGCTTTAAAAAGGTATATTAAAGCTATGTATTGGTATCAACATAAGTAGGTGTATTGAAGCTAGGTACTGACCATGGCTGGATGTATTGAAGACACGAACCATCTTCCTGTAACATCGGACCTTGGCTCGCAGCAGGAGCTTTCTCTGCTCCGTCTCCGACATGACGGACACCACCTGCAACATCACAACGGCGAATCATGACACATTCCACACTCATTGCATTCTGTAATCGTTTCATTGATAAATAAAACGACAAAACAGTGTCCACATCCATCAGAAGATTCTGCCCAGAACAGAGTCGATTGTACAATTCCGTCTATGCCATAAGGATGTGTTTATGAAGCGCCATCAAATGGTGATAATACCAGTTGTTCGCAAGAAGGTGAACGTCTCCTGCACCACCGTCATGAACACACGCAAAGTCTAGTCAATCATTCATTTGAAAAGAAATTCGGGAACGTGTGGTACAAGTCAAACTGGGATTTGCACCAGATATCTTTTTCGTAAAAAGAGCACGCCCCTTGCAAATGTTAATGGTTGGTGCCACCAGTGGGCAGAATAAACTTACCTTTTCGCGTACATCTGGTATCATCACTGATTAATTTATAAACAGTATCCTGTTTGCTGGGATTTCTTATTGGTTGTTTTGGTCCTTAATGTACTGAGATATTGTTTACAACGACAGTGACCCGATTCAGTTAATGACAAATAAGCCAGCAGCACACTTATCACACTCACATGATCTGTCTGGTCCATCAACACCCACGTGAATCAGCCCAGTTAAAAGTACACAAGAACACTCTGCCTCTGAGTGAATACCGATCACAACGACAACCATGGCATACCGTTGACTTGAACAACTGTGTCGCCATGAGACCCGCCACTGTCTCCAGAGCTAGGAACTACAATTCCCTGACATCCTGTTAGCCTCTGATAACCCATGTAGGCGTGTTCGAGATCGTGCTGTACTTTTCAAACTAAATAGTACTGTGACAGCCGGCATGTGTGTCGTGTTTGATAGATTTATGGGCTTGCGGTCAAGGAGATGTCTACGACTAACTACAGTCACATACTTGAACGTGCACTACACTTATTAGTCTGTCACACAGTCCGTGAAACACATTATTTTCCCTTCCGCCCAGCCCTTTCTGTAATTTAAAAGCCCTGAATGAAACACGCCTAGATTTGCCTGTGAATCTCCCAGCTTCATGCTACTTATAAATGGAGATAGTTAATATTTTAGCAAACTGTTTACATTCAGAAACTAAGGCCTACCTAAAAGGTCAAATTGTAACTAACTCTCATCTGTGTTGCCTCTAGAGAGCTGTGGAATAGATGCTTACATAGCTTATGTTTATGCAATGATATACTTGGTAGTATTAAGCAACATATAGCTTAAGGATATATTATTTCATCAGTGAAATAAATTGGTTTTTGAAAGAAAATGCATTCGCGATCGGCTTTGTGATATGATCGTAAATATCTGGAGTGACTGTAAATTATATTTGAAATTAGACGAGTCAGCAAGACATGTAAGTTCGGATTGGTCCAAATATTGGTTCAATAGTATCGCCCTCTGTGTATTCTTTCAGAGCCAAAACAATAAAAAAAATAGCAAAGGCCCTGAAGCAATGTAACTGTTATGGAAAAACAATATTTATAGTTTTTAACGCCGTTTAGCGGCTACATGTTGTTATTGTTACTCCCGTAAATCTGCGCAAAATCTACGGACTCCAAACATTGTGTGTGGACAACTTAGTGTACTGGGGTGGTGGGGTAGCCTAGTGTTTGAAACGTCCGCTCGATTCCCCAAATCGGTACAATGTGTGAAGCCCATATCTGGTGTCCCAAGTCGTGATATTGATGTAACATTGCTAAAAGCGACGTAAAACAAAACTGACTCACTGACGTATTGAACTAGTCCGGTCTTAGAGATCTCGCCCACTGAGATAAACACAGGGTTACAACAGTCCCATCTTCTACCAAGTAAGGCACAACCATCAGATCCCCGGGCGGTTCCAGGCTACACGTATGTGGTATTCTACTAACTTAATACGCAGGTGTATCTGGACAATTAATTCATTTTGGCCATAAATATGACTGTGTAGAGTGTAACTTTCTGAATCAGCTTTGGCCAATGTATATGAGACAGGGAAAGGTGTTGACTGGTCTGTTAAGATGAATAATATCACTCTTCAACCCACTGACCCGAGGTGGAGATGAGATCACACAAGCTTAAGTACATGTATACATGTAAACGCTAGTGGGCAATAGATCAAAGGCATTATTATATTGTCCAGTTTGTTAATCCTAGCACTAAATTATGGATATATAAAATGGATCAAGATAAAACCTGAGATCTGGAAACTGATCTGATGACAAATGCAGTCAAACGAAATAGATAGTCCCACATACACACTTTGCAAACCAAAATGTCAAATTACCGCGTCCGTATGTACATTGTACTTGATCAATTAACAGCAACAACCAGTATAGGTGAGGTCTCAGGATGTGTCATTAAAATGTCCTCATGAAATCGGGATAATGTCATTAAATCGGGGGAAATACACGATGGAACCCACTTTATTTTCATTGCCATGCACAAAGACGTGTCAGAAATTGTTCAGTTGACATTCATCCACTTTCGAATGCTATTTGAGGACATACCTTGTGTGTGTGTGTGTGTGTGTGAGTGTGTCTGTGTGTGTATATGAAGAACGACAAAACCCTTGTCGACACCAGGTGTCATTTAACAGATTATTGGGACACAACTGTCAAGCAACATTGGTGTCTCTCATCCTGGTAGGAGAATGTAGAGAAAGGATGCGCATAACAAAACTCACGCACACTCGATCAATCCTTGTAACAATATATTTAAAGTAACGAGCGAACAGTACAAAACGCACGTTTACATTAATATTTAGATTTTCCGTTTGGATATTATCTTACTAGAATATACCCAAGGTGTTATACTGTTTGAACATATAACGACTTTGCATCTCAGACAAAAGGATGCATGGAGCCTGAGGTTCTTGGAAGCAACGACCAATAACTTTTGATCGATCTCTGCAATGCCATACTTTTCTCAAATCACGATCAGGATATGGCATTCATATGAATTCTGTTACCAGATCCTGTTTTCAGCTGATTTGCTATCAGTTTGGATGTTGTATTGCTGCTGACGGAGAAACGTTTGCAAATGGTCCGTGATAAAACGCGTACTCTCTGTGTGATTGTACACTTCCCAAATACCCGAATGAGACATTAGTTAACCATGATAGCATTCCAGTGTAGCATGATTTAATATCAACTGCTAATGTGCGTGTGTTGCTTCGCATACAATTACATAAAATCCGTCACGAATATAAAGTTATAATACAATAAGTTGTAATTTTGACATTGTCTGGTGTGTTCGTTCTTGAAAGATCAAAGCTAACCAATCCTAACTAATCAGTTAGAATCCTTGAAACAAGAACAGTCGAATCAATGATGCAAATGATACTCACGGAGATAAAACTAACTTTTTATGATTGAGAATAACAATTTGTTTTCTTTGATATTTTGATATTGATTTATCATGTTCATTACGATTCAGGGCACTAATCAATGGATTGATTTGGTCTTCTCAAAGACTTGACGATGAAAGAGTTGGGTTGTCTTCACTTTGACCGCTACCTCAGTATATACCCTGTAATGGCGTATTCAGTAGGTTTAGATGGACGAAAGCCGAAGTAACACAGGTCATGATCACCGAATTCTTGATACAAAAAGGAAACTATTGTTCAAACTTATTAGTATACCCAACAAAGAAATACCCCTCCCAATCCCAACACTCACACACACATTCCACGCAACATAGAGTAACACGTGTACACACACATCATACCTTATTACTGAGCTACGACAGCTGTGTGTCATTCTGAACGCAAGTACAACAAGGTGTACAAACCCTCGTCTTCAACACCAAAGATGCGTCCTACATCTTATTGCACTTGGTGTTGTGTTACGAACCACTGAGACAGTGAATATTGTCGAGACGCCTCATTTGTCTCCTCTGGTTTCGGCTTCCTGCACCCAGACACAGCTGATGAGCTTTCTCGCTAGCAAGCATTCGCTAAGTCGCGCCACATTGGTGACTTGTGGGATTTGGGTGGCTGATTGCCTTGTTACTGTATATGACAGAGCTGGTAGACAGGTAGTCTGTCTCACAGTCCCTGAACCACTTTATTTTCCCTGCTGCCAAGCCCTCTATGCAGTGCTAAAGCCCTAAATAAAGCAAGTCTAGATTTCCTCAGGTTCTGAATCTCTGGTCTCCCTGGGGCTCCTTTTCAATTTAAATGGGCTTGTATGTTACTATCAAAATTATATATATTCAGAGACTAAACATTAGTCTAGTAGACAGGGAAAACCTGCTAACACATTTACAGTCAGACAGCCAAGGAGAGGAGTTCTCTGGAGCGGAGTGTCACCGCGTCTGCCAAGTAGGAATTATTGCGAGGTGAGACTCAGGAAGGACAGTGCAATAACACATGTTTTATTTAACCTGTCTGCTCAGTTCAATTACACCGTCACAGGAGGCAATAATGTAATTTTGTTGTAATGTGTCTGCATAATATGGAATATCGTCTTTGTCGAAATAAGTTTGCGTTATCTCAGAAGGTGCATTTGTAGATAACCTTTGTGAGAGTCACGATAATAACATTAGGCATACATTTCAGTCCTCAAGCAATCGTGATTATTCTTGAAACAGGTTTCCTTGACCGAAAATATTGCACCGAGAATGATCACACAATGTTTCTATGGAACCTCAGTACCCTAGCAACGAGACGACTATTTCATATGATATCGTGGTTGTAGCCAATCAGGATGAACTGATTTGTTTCGTTTGTTATGACGTGAGTGGGAAGTGCATAGCATTTCAATTTTCGAGGTGTTACACATGTAATAAGCACAGTCTTAAACCTTCTTGAAAGCAGTTAATTGAATATTCTTATGGTCTTTAAATCACGTCACTGCTATCGGGTATGGGTTAACGTGTGTGCGCTTTGGTCTCTGTAGTTTAAATCCTTGAAGGGCATTTAGAAGTGGAATACATAGGAAAAGCAAGATTTTATGGATGTCAACTTCTTTATTGTGAATTGCACGACGTTTCGGAGTGTATGCTTGATCCTTCG